AGTTGATCTGTTTTCGTTGTCTATATTTGGGACATTTCTGGCATTTGAAAATATCCTGGCATTAGGGACCATCATGGCATTAGGAGCATTCCTGAGATTTGGGACCTTATTTGCATTAGGCATTATTGACCTTCCTGGCGTTTGGCATTAGGAACTTTCCTGGGATTATGGATCATCCTAAAATTAGCGACTTTCCTGGCATTAGGTATTAGGGACCTTCCTTCCTAGCATTAGGCATTAGCATTAGGCCCTTGCTGAAATTAAGGACCTTCCTGGCGTTAGGCATTAGGGACCTTCCTGTCATAAGGAACCTTCCTGAGATAAGGGACCTTCCAGGCATTACGGACCTTCCTGGCAGAGTTAAGCTGGTTTCCTATGAAACTTGTCAAATTCGATATTTAGATATCATGTTATATTAATTTTTCTAAATTTAAGAAATGAAAAAGATCATCTTGTAATTTTAGATATGTTATCACCTCATATCGTTCTGTTTAACAAAATAATAATTAGCAATGCAAAATTCTACTTATTTTAAAACAACATTTCATTTCTTAACTTCTCAACGGTTTTCTAATAAAAGCAGCCACCGCTAAGATTCTGCACTATAAAAATACTTGACATGCAAGAAGACTTTTTATATCAATCATTATACTTAATCATGAGAAGTCGCAGTTTTGTCGAATTTCTGCATTGTAATGGGATTTGAGATAGAAACAAGATTGCATTTGTAAAAAATGCTATGCCACCGCATAAATACAACACTAAAATAGTAATGTAGGAACAATTTTTTTTTGTTTTGACCCAAGGGCTTTAATTTGAATAATCTTGCTAAAGTTTCTCTACACAATGTTTACTGCAAAATGTCTCACCTCTAGCCTTTGTCAATTCGAGAAGGTGATTTTTTAAAGTTTTTACTATATACATGTAAAGAAAACTTATGACCCCGGGGCAGGGCTAGTTTTGACACTAGAGGCAAAATTTGAACAACTTTGGTAGAGTAACTATAGATGATATCATATACCAAATATCAAAGCTCTAAGCCTTGTACCTTCAGACAATAAGATTTTTTAATTTTTTACTATATGTACATAGTGAAAATCAATGACCCCTGGGGATGGGCCAATTTTGTCCCCAGGGCTATAATTTGTTCAATCTTGCTAGAGGTTCACTACACAATGTTTCATGCAAAATATCTAACCTCTAGCCTTTGTCAATTTAGAGAAGATGATTTTTTAAGTTTTTACAATTATACATATGAGGAAAACCTTATGACCCCCGGGGCAGGGCTAATTTTTTGACACTAGAGGCAAAATTTGAACAACTTTGGTAGAGTACCTATAGATAATAACACATACCAAATATCAAACCCTCTAAGCCTGGTACCTTCAGACAAGAAGGTATTTTATGTTTTTACTATATGTACATATAGCTGAAAATCAATGACCCCCGGGGCGGGGCCGATTTGGACCCCAGGGCTATAATTTGAACAATCTTGCGTAGAGGTCTACCAGACAATGCCTTATGCAAAAATCTAAGCTCTAGGCCTTTTGGGTCTTTACAAGAAGATTTTTTAAATTTATTCTTATAATTCCTTTTGGTTGCCATGGCAACCAGAATTTCTGCATGGAATGAAATTCTTTGAACAACTTTGGAAGGCCTTCACCCAAGGATCAATCCTGCCAAGTTTGGTTGAAATTGGACTAGTGGTTTTTCACAAGAAGATTTTTTAAGTTCACTATATAATCTATATAACACACACACACACACACACAAACAAACACACACACAGGTGAATCGCTATATGCCACCGCATCGCAGATGCTGCGGTGGCATAAAAATGAAAATCTAATTTCGTGACAGAGTAAAGGCGGATTTAGTGATAACGAGATCACAAATTACCTTGAAGGGAATCAAAATGCCAGAACATGCTACTCAGGTCATTATTATGGCTTCGTCATCAGCCATCGCAGATTTACTTTTTGTACAATTTGACATCTTGACAATTGAAAAAAAAAGATGAAAAAAAACATGAAATGTTGTTTCAACTGCTTCGCTGTGACAACATATTTCCTAATATGGTGTTAGCAATTCGCATTTTAATATTCAAGTAATATCTTGATTCCCAAATCTAAGATGGCTTCTTTGATGAAATGCTGTTAATTCGGGGAAATATTCTAGGATACATTTTATAGTGATGTTTAATGTCATGGCATGAAGTAACAAGAGGGCCATGATGGCCCTGAGGTCGCTCACCTGTATATAGGCCCCCCATCCCCCCCCCAAATGTTGCAGGGCCAATTTAACCCAAGGGCTTTTATTTGCACAAACTTGGTAAACACCCATAAGAAGATGTTTCATGCTAAACATCTAAGCTCTAGCTCATTGGGCTTTTTAAAAGAAGATTTTTTTTAAGTTTTTACTATACACATATAGTTAAAAACAATGACACCCCTGGGCCGGGCCAGTTTTGACCCCAGGGCTTTTATTTGAACAAACTATGTAGACACTTACTAGAAGATGTTTCATGCTTAATATCTAAACTCTAGCTATTTGGGTTTTTTCAAAGAAGATTTGAAGTTTTTACAGTACACATATAAAGAAAATCAATGACCCCCGGGGCGGGGCCAATTTTGACCCCAGGTCTTTTATTTGAACAAACTTTGTAGACACTCACTAAAAGATGTTTCATGCTTAATATCTTAACTCTAGCTATTTGGGTTTTTTCAAAGAAGATTTTTTAAGTTTTTGCTATACACATATAAGGAAAATCAATGACCCCCGGGGCGGTGCAAATTTTGACCCCAGGGCTTTTATTTGAACAAACTTGGTAGACACCTATTAGAACATGTTTGATGCTCAATATCTTAGCCATAGCTCTTTGAGTTCTTTAAAAGAAGGTTTTTTAAGTTTTTACTATATGCATATAGGGAAAATCAATGACCCCCCGGGGCGGGGTCAATTTTGATCCCAGGGCTTCTATTTGAACAAACTTGGTAGACACTTATTAGAACATGTTTCATGCTAAATATCTTAGCTCTAACTCTTTGAGTTCTTTAAAAGAAGATTTTTTAAGTTTTAACTATATGCATATAGGGAAAATCAATGACCCCCTGGGGCGGTGCCAATTTTGACCCCAAGGCTTTTATTTGAACAAACTTGGTAGACACCTATTAGAACATGTTTGATGCTCAATATCTTAGCCATAGCTCTTTGAGTTCTTTAAAAGAAGATTTTTTAAGTTTTTACTATATGCATATAGGGAAAATCAATGACCCCCCGGGGCGGGGCTAATTTTGACCCCAGGGCTTTTATTTGAACAAACTTGCTAGACACCCATTAGAACATGTTTCATGCTAAATATCTTAGCTCTAGCTCTTTGGGTTCTTTAAAAGAAGATTTTTTAAGCTTTTACTATTTGCATATAGGGAAAATCAATGACCCCACGGGGCGAAGCCAATTTTGACCCCAGGGCTTTTATTTGAACAAACTTGGTAGACACTCACTAGAAGATGTTTCATGCCAAATATCTAAGCTCTAGCTCTTATGGTTTTTTAAAGAAGATATTTAAAGTTTTTTCTTTCGGTTGCCATGGCAACCAGAGTTCTGCATGGAATTAAATTCTTTGAACAATTTTTAAAGGTGACCACCAAATGTACATTCCTGTGAAGTTTGGATGAAATTGGCTTAGTGGTTTATGAGGAGATGTCATTTAAAGTAAAAGTTTACGGACGGACGACGGACGGACGGACGACGGACGGACGCCGTACGAAAAGCGATCACAAAAGCTCACCCTGTCACTTTGTGACAGGTGAGCTTAAAATATGTCAAAATATCTTAAAGTGTTTTCATAATTCTTTGACCTTATTAAAATTGCAGTTTATATATAGATAATCATATACATGTATAGATAATCTTTAAGGGATATCCGAGTAGTGCATTGTAAGTATTTTGCCCTGGAAGGGTTTGACTAAGTGGCTTGCATCCGGGAAAAACTATCGGACTTCGGTGTGGTAGCTGGATAGCTTCCTTGCATAAAAGACCAAATCTCTCTTTTTTCAGTCACCTCAACAACACGGCGGGATAGTCTCCAATTACGCACAAAGAATGATTACATTCTGTATCTATTTGCTCAAAATCATGGAGCCTAGAGATACATTGTAACTGATTTAGTGTAATACATTGTATATTATTAAATATGAAAGAGCTATAAATTTGATTAAAAATGGCGAGGCTTTACAAAAAAATATATGTTGTAACAGTAACTTAACATTTTCTTTAACTTACCTAACTTACACAGTGTAAGTATGTATAATTTGAAAAGTTCCTTCACAAATGTTCAAATAATTTGGCTCTTAAAATTGTTGCACTTTGCTAAGTGAGCCCTGGGAGGGCAGGGACATAATTTATGTATCTTTTGTAGAAGTCCACTGGGCAATGCTGCATACAAAATATCTAAGCTCTAGACATTGTAGTTTTACAAAATAAAACTCCTATAGAAAAATAGTATAAAAAGTAAGAGGGCAAATTTTGACCTAGGTACATGATTAAATACATTGTAGTGGCCGACACTGTGACATCTATTGAAATTCTAGACTTTTGGTGCCTTTTGGATACCCTGCTGTTATGGCTGGATTGTGTTGTAGGCTGCGTTCTGTAAATCTCGCCTTTGCCTTGTTGAGCTTTGTTATAACTTATTTAAGATTTCATTTAGAATTTAAGTCTATTTTAGTTCTAGTAACCAAATACATTAGATTGGAACAAGTTACATAACTTCTGGAAAGGGCCATCGAAGAATAATTCCTTTGACGTTTGGTCAAAATCGTCAAAAATGTACGTTGTTTAAGAGGAGATATTGTTTAAAGAAATTGTGGATAAGACAAACACAATACCATGAAAAAGGCCTTCGGCTCTGGTGAGCTAAATAAAAAAGCTGACCAATTAGTGCTCCAGTCATCTACTAAAAAAGAATAACAAAATAAAAATAAAAAAAATTTATACATTGTATTTAATTTATTTGGTGACTTTTTAACAAAAAATAAACAATAACCGATAACAAACGCCCATGGCATTCATATAATGGTGTAATAAATTAATCTCGAAGCAAGCCTGTTGCATTCTTATAAACAAACATAACCATAAAAAAACCTTATTCATAAAGCTGTATTCATCACAATTACTGACCCCTTAAAGCATGAAAATGAGCAACAATGCTCCAGTAATTTAAAATGCTGATGACAATTTTTACACAAATTTGAACAAATATACACAACCTTGAAAAATTGAACATTAAAACGCTTTTTACTTGTACAACAACTCATGCATCTAAACTGATAAACATTTACAATGACTCTCTGTCACAATTAAAACAAAATTAAATTGGCACTTTATATACATGATTCTAAAAGAAGTTAAACAATTCTAGTTTGCGTACCATAAATACATTATAACAAGAACCACCGCCTAGCTGGGGTCACACTCGTCTATTTTCTTTTTTCTGAAGTCAAAAACTTCAGAGAAAAAATATTATAGTTAAGAGTGCTGCTACAAAACATATTTCATTTAACAAATAAAATTCAAATTTCATATCTGACCTTGACAATCAATGTCAATTAAGGTCAATGTCACATTTGAATTAATCATCATGTCCGTTTTGTAATATTTGCTCTTTTTTTCCAAATATGAATCATACATGTGTATATGTAAATAAAAAACAAAGTAGTGACATTTTAAACAAATCTTGACAGTCAAGATCAAATAAAGGTCAATGTCATATTTGAGTTATTCAAAAAACCGGTTTTATTATAAGTGTTCTTAAGAAGATCAGAATCAATTTGGCCTTGCCTTAAGTGTTTTTGTGTCAAAGTATGCAGAAAATCCGTACATAAATAACAAAGTTATTACCAATCATAGCAAAAATCAAGCAAAATTCATTAATTTGACCTTCAAGGTCAAGGTCATGACAGCAACAGTAGCAGGATGACACAACTGTATCAATAGCTTGAATTTTTCTTTTGAGCAAGTCCTGCCTAAATTGGTCCCAAATAGAAAAGTCTTTCAAGTATTTCAATTACACAAAAATAAACATAGCATCACAATAACATTTTATTTCTATCATGTCTCTTTACTGTATTCGTGACATAGTGATGATAGCGGCATATCATAAAGTTTTTTGTAAAATAGCATTTAGAGATTTCATAGATTTTATCTATAAATTTAATTTCATGTATAATGTAAACAAATGGATTTCAAAGCAAATTTGTGTGCTCATTAAACAACATTGCTTTCACTCTGTCCTCAAAGTGTTTTTGTCCAGCCATCAGCATAACTTTCCTTACGACTTCAAAGCAAATTTGTACTTTCATTTATTAGCGTTATTTTTTCAGCGTCTTGTTTCATCTTTTGGCCTGCACTTCTTTTCTTTTCATATTTCACCTCGTAATCAGGGAATGTGTCCGTGACCGATTTTCTAAGCCCCTGATTGCTGTGACTGTATCCATACAAAAAATAAATTGCTAACCCTGTAAAAGAAAATTGTTGAATATTCTTTATTCCCTTGTTGGTAAAATGCAACAGATATTGTGATGTCTCATAAAGGCCCATTATGCCTCATAAATGCTTTTTTTTATTTCACAAAAACCGTTAATTTTTGTATCTAAATGTCACAGTTTCCAAGAAATACTTAGTACTCATTTGCCAAAGAGATGAACTACCTTTGTTTCCTTTTCCTATGTTGGCAATTGGTATAATTATAGTGAATTAGTATTTCGTATGGAAGTCAAAATCCTACTTTGTTTACATTTTGCTATGTGAACGACTCATAACTGTACATTCAGAGATAATTTCTTGAGTTATTAAATATCTAACATGCTCTTAATCTATAAGTAACACACGAAGACAGCAAGGTAAACATTCAGATTGGTGGCTTTCACAATAACAACCATAAAGTTAGAAAGCAAGATAATAAATTTAGTCCACTACAAGACATTTTGTAATGCAACAAAGCAAGGTATACTTAAGCTGTTAAGTTACCGGATTACAATATTTGCTCAAGGATCTGTGCAAGGCATGATTTGTGACTGTGAAGGGAAATACAAATCTGTTATTACAAATTCTGAAAGCATATTATAAATATATCCCTCTATTGTACACAACAATGTTAAGTAAATCATAAACATTTGTCACCTTAGTGCAATATCATGTTAAGTCCTTCTAAATTTAATAGGAATAACCAGTTATTGCACTAAGGTGATGATTTCTTTAGCTTTAAAGGCAAACAAAAAAAAGACCAAACAATAGAAGAGCTGCCCATGTACTCCAATTAATTTTCTCCCTTTCTCAGTGTTTGACATTAAGAAAAGGGGCATAACTATGTAAAAAGGTAAATCAGAGTTATAGGACCTGTGCCCATCATGTTAGATAATCAAACAAGTGTGTGTGTGAATATTCAACTAACTCCTCTCAGTTGATTTAAAAAAACCAACCTACATATAAAAACTTAATCATAGTGTGACGCTAATCGACACCAACACAGGGGTGCATGAGTACAATAGCTCACCATATTCTAACCACAGAGTGATGAATTTCATAACACTAACAGTCTCAAAGGACTGTCACAACAACATCATGTTTTACATACCAAGCCGAAGATTATCTGTCGTCTTCATCAGAGGTATGATCAACATAAACATTAATTTCTGTCTCAATATCATCAAATAGTTCATCAATCTCAGTATGAGGGTGAAGTTGGAGGGAGGAAAGGGAAAGGTTGTCATGGAATATTGGTTCAGGACTGTGCCAACAGCCATACGAGAAATATATGAGAAAACCTGAAAGATAATACATCTGAAAATCTAACCGTCAGCAAAATATATGAGAAAATTTGATAACATACATCTGAGAATCGAACTGTAAGCAATATATATGTGAAAATCTGATAACATAATCTGAGAATCTAGCCTTAAAGCAGCATGCCTTAAGATTCATGCTAATTTTTATGAAAATTTTAAAAATGTATTTAAAAGTAAAATATTGTTAAGTGAACAAAGGAAATCATAAGCACATTGCAAACAGCTCTTGCAGTCCCCATAGATTACCAAAAAGAGGTCAAAATAAGCAAAATTAGCCCTTACTGTGTGTGTTAGTAGCTCAGAAGAAACTAACACAGTAAAAATATGGTGATAAATACTGCAAAATCAGCCCTTTCACCCATAAAACATGTAAATAATCACTTGAATCTTGAAACATTTTACTTTTCTTAAAATTTTAGCACATTTTTCTCAAATTAAATATTCATAAAAAAATTTCAGCTCATCTGGAGGCATGCAGCTTTGAGCAATACATATGAGAAAAAATCTGATTACATAATTCTGATTACATACATCTGAAAATCTAGTCTGAAGCAACATATATGAGTTAATCTCGGGGAGGGCCGACCGCTAATGTTGTAAGAACTTGGGCCCAACCCGTTTGCTTTTGCTGTTTAGAATACATATGAAATTTGTATCTGTATTGTATATACATGTATATAGCAATAAAATATGATTAAACAAAAATTAAACAAAAAATCTCATAAAATACATCAATAAGCAATAATACAATGCAGATATTATGAGAATAGCCTGAAAAAACATTCAAGTCTTCAGCTGGATTGAAAACCTTTTGTTAGAAGACAAGATGAGTATATACAAATGTATGCTCCATATCATATAAGTACATGTAAAATCTAAAAAATAAAGAATAAAGTACTCTTCAAAGTTATCTATTTGCACAAATGTAGTATTCAGTACAAATTAATGTATCAATAATTTTCTCATACAGATTAATATATAACCTTGCCTTTGTTCAATCTGTGCATGTCCATTAGAAAAGGATCTTGTAATCAAAGGGAGAAAATTGCGCTATTTCTGAGCAGTTTTGCAAGACTGATTTACCAAGTTGTGCAATATATAGAGGTAAAACAAGTTAAGTAACTGATATAAAGAACAATGCTATTAAAGGGAGACACAGGCAAAATTTTCATTTTTTTAGTTTTGAATTTTTTCATTCATTATTCTGTAAATGTCATCAAAATGAATACATTTGACAGTCGTAGGAACAATATTTTTCAGCTTAAAAAAAATAAAATGGTGGTTTCCTAACTTGACCCACATGGGTCATGTTAGAGCGTTTAGATTTCACAATAGTTGTCACAGTGAACTCTGCCAGGAAACGTTAAAGAACATGTCAAATGAATGACTTAGACTTGTTTCAATCATACAATATCCACACCTGTTATTGTAGCTTCCACAGCCTGGTGAAATCACATGACTTGTTTTAAAACTACATGGTGATTCTGTCAGCATCTAAATTTTGTCCAACATATATAAAATATATTTACGCTTCAAACCCAAAATATATAGAATTTATGCAGAAATTCATGCAGGGACTAAAAAATGTCATTTTAGCGTGATATGAGTACATAAGATCATTTTTGTCATCAATTTGCATGAGTATCCCTTTAAAGGCACTTAATCAGGCTATATATATGTAGACATGGATACATAAATACAAACTGGGGATTACTGGAACATATATACTAACCTATTGCCATCCATACTGCAAACCGGATCCATGTCGCTTCCGGTAGACGTAGCATGAGAAATATATTAACAAATATACTAATACCAGGTAAAAATGGCAACCATGGTACCTGAAATAAACAAAACAAAAAAGATTAATTTACATACATCAAAAGAACCTTATCACTTCATTGAGATTACTTGTAATATATGAGCCGCGCCATGACAAAACCAACATAATGGGTTTTCGCTTACAAACCCTTTAACACATAGAGAAACTGAAAGCGAACAGCATGGATCCTGATCAGACTGCACGGATCCATGCTGATCACAAACCCATTATGTTGGTTTTGTCATGGCGCGGCCCATATCAAGAAGAAAATCTTTCTTAAACCCTTCTGAATTTTCTAAATGGACTTGTCCAACTCTCATTTTTAGGACTGTTCCTTATCTGTTTTAGGTAAATCAAGATGAAAATTTTAAGTTATTCAGCCAACAGTATAGAGCCTGGAATTCAGGTGTACAGATGTTCAGACCGGCCTGATTTTATAATGGTGGCTTGGCAAATCACTTTATAAACACTTAATATAATGAAAACAATTAAGGCTTATCCTTAAATGGACTTGTCCATCATTAAATCTGGAGAAAAAAGAACATTCTTTAATTTTTGAGAAAATTTCAAAACACAAATATGGAAAGACTGGAAATCAAAGAGTACAGGCCATTTTAAGACAGCCACCTTACAATGAAGGTAAGTTACTGTAGCAAGCCATTTTAAGTTAGTATTTCTTCTAATAATTGATGTTTTAAAATAAACTAATTATTGCAAAACAAACTCATATTCAAATACCTTAAATGCTACTTCACTTTTATTTTGTGGTTGGCATGACAACGATATCAACAATATTAGCATAGCCAATGAAATTATCACAGTGAGAACAATAGCCCAGGCTTTACCAGCTGATATATCATCCTCTGCAAACTTCAAAAATATTGAAAAACCCACAGCCAAAAAACCTGAAACAAAGAAATATATAAGTACAAATACACTGAAAACACTTAAGCTAGTTCTGCATTAAAACAAACTCTTGTCTGTTTGCATGGATTTAATGCCAATTTCAACCCATTTTTAACCATATCTCGGCAGTCAGACCACCTAGTTGCCTTTCTTTGAAAGCTCTGTTCTTTAACATGGTAAATAGAACCAATATAGTATTGTTAGTGCTGGGTTACAGATCAAAAGAGCTACCTCCTGGATTACTAGACTAGTGGCGGATTACCACTTCAGCATGGATTTGATCTAACTTAGTTTATTAAGTCAAAAGCCTAATTGGTTATTTATCATTTTCTGCTCGTGGGCCAGGTTGACAAGTGTCAAGTTGGATATAGAATTGATGGTCGATTTTGACACTAAAAATCTACCAACTGATGCAGAAATACCTGAAAACGTACTGAAATGAGAAAGTTAAAGATAAATCAAAACTATTATTGATTATTCTTATAATATAAGCTGGTGTTTTCACAAAAATGAATGACAACTTGCTCTGATGATATGGCTAGTGATAGCCAATCCTAAGCTCTGGAAATTTTAGTTTCACGCAATAAGTTTCAAATGTATTTTTCCTATACATTGTACTAGTCTAAATAAATCAAGTGACCCGTTGGACAGGGACAATATTGAACCAAGGGGAATGAATCATATCGTTTTGTAAAGGTCAATTTGGCAAAGCTATTTGCTAGATATCTAAGCTCTAGACATTGAAGTTACACAAAATGAAACTTATCTAAGTCTATATAACTCAAATAATCCTCGGGGCAGGCCAATTTTGTTCTCAGGAAGCCCAAACTTGTGTTCTGCACATTGTTTCATTATCAAATAATATTTCTGCCAAAAGGTTTTAATTTCTTACTATTGGTTCAAAAGATACAGTGTGGACACCAAATTTTGTAAATCATACAAAATGATTATTGTGACCTTGACCTGAGAAAAGGTCAAACTTACCCACTGCATTATGATTCACATTTCTGCCCAATAGTTTTGGTTTCCTTCCACAGGTTAAAAAGATAACAGACTGAAAATGCTAACACACTGAGTGAAGGATGAACAAACACATAACCATATACAGTGAAATTTGAGAAAACCGGACGCTGAGAAAATCGGAACTCTCTAAATACCGGACGAATAATTCAGTCCCAAATTTTCCCTTTTTAAACTATTGTATTAAACATTGACAATACCGGAATCTGTAAAAACCGAATATCGGACGGTTGATAGGGGACTACAAAGTCAATTATATAGACAATTACCCTGACAATACCGGACAACGAAGGTGTGAATAACTTGTGTACGTGTCTAATACGCTACTGAGCGGTAGCAGAACAATGATTGTCTGATTTGTTTAATTATGTCTCATTTCACAGTTTGAATTATTTTAAAGGTATAGATGTTACCGTTTTATATAAATTGCCAAAATGCACGAGGCATTGATAGTTTAAAATCAGTTGACGAGAACTGTCTATAAGTGACAATTTAAATTAATTTAAAGACAGTGAAACTTTGCCAAGACTTACTTTAAAAATCTTTATCTGACAAATATGTTATAGGCAATATTTACTATTGGGGCATTATTATGAACAAACTAGGTAAACTACATGTATGTTTGTTACATTATTATCCATTATCCAAATGTAAACATATGCGGGTGTAATCGGACTTCATCGTTATGAGGTAACTGTTGTTCGTTTAAATTTATTTATATGCAATAATTGAGACAAAAACAATAAAAACATATTGTATAGTATTTTTATCATTTCGTTATTTAGCAATATACTTACTCATAATCATGAAAATGCAAATATACGTTCAGCATCCTTTGTAAGTCATTGCTCGGTTTATATGATCCTGAACAGCTGAAGGGGACATTGAGAATACCGGACCGCTGAGAAAACCGGACAAAACCCTCGGTCCGAGAACCGTCCGGTTTTCTCAACTTTCACTGTACATGTAACATGTATATGTTGAAATTTTTTAGGGCCTATCAAAGTTAAACCCACTTTTTGCAAAATGAAATGATTCTAAACTTCCTTACTAAATATTGTTACTGCATATGCTGAGGTTCTTTCTGTAACACTAGAGGGATCTATATTTCTAAAATTAAATGCAGTTGATATCACAGATAATTCATCATCATCACTGTTATGTAAAAGCTTGTTTCTATCATCTAAACCTTCCAGCTGACCATCATCCTGATCAAGGTCACTTTGAGGCCTGAAAAAGAAAAATGCACTTTTCTTTGGTTAAATGAAGGCAAATTAATGACACATGTATAATGACTTTCCAGCTTTTATTGGTTCAGACATGCCATGCAATTCTGTCAATGCCTAACTTTATTTGAGTAGAACAAAGGGAAGAAGACTGTCTTCATTTACAAAAGGTAAAATGGTGAAAGGATACAGATCCTGACCTATATATCAAACTTAACCAATAAATCAGGCAGTACTGAATTCATTGAAAAATCCATGTGATTACTGAATAACGTTCCCAGTAACCAATAATATGTATTTTCAATATGAATGGTTTATTGGATCATTGATTCTGTACATTTCTGTGAGTGTTATTCATCTCAACTGTGATACAGCTAGAGATTTAGGCCCAGTATCTCTTTCTTCCAATCAAGTAAATGCATGTCACTATTTTGTATTGTTGATGGTTGTAAAAGGGTGATTTCTGTCCATAGAAAATTGTGCAAATCAGAGAAATACAATCCATGATTGATGCATGATTTAAACAGTTCTTAACAAGATGTTTTGAAAACTCATTAATGTAATTTTCTTAAACATGGGATTTAAACACTAAGCTTATTCTTTGATCGTCTGTCAATTGAATGTGCCAACATAAGACCCCTCAGTAGTTGGTTGCTTGTCCCCTTGTATAATGTCCCAGGTCTCAACCCATCTTAAAAACATTTTGATCAAATACACTTAAAATCTTCTGGCACATCAGAAGATGCATGAGATGATATCATTTAAAGAGTTAGAACAAGACCTGTTGGCAGACAGCGTGCTCCTATTTTCTCAGTGCTGGATAGTTAAATAAAATCAAAATAGAAAAAAAGACACAACTTTACATTAAATTATGTTAGGATTATCTGCTCTTTTGAAATGGTGTCCTTTTAAGACAATATACAAGTTCACATACTGCAAAGCAAGTAATATTCACAAGTGTTTTATTTTTGCTATTTTCACTATATTCGCGGTTCTCAATCAACCACGAATTCAAAACACCCGTGAATATTTGCCACTTACGCAATAGGCATAGTTAGATATCAAGACAGAGTATGTTGTAAATAACTTTGTAATACAATTACCAATATCAACTATCATTGTTTATTTTGCAAAACAAATGTTTCATTTCATATATTTTTTGGATGTACACATTAAATTTGGTAAAAAAACAGTTTATTCAAACAATCATACTGTTCATTCTATTCTATTCCAGCCAAAGCACATGCTTTTTTATTATAAGGTCTGTTTGCTTCGGCAGTTTATCTAATGCATTTATGAGCCACTGAGCCTGTTTTACCTTGATAACAGACAATAGTAGGTCAATGTCAATGTTTTCGATCTCTTTGGAAGCAGTCATAGAAGACTGTATGGATTTGGCATAAAATTGTTGAATATATAGAATTTCAGAATGAAGTATCCTGTGAATTTAAGACACCGCTAATAAGTGCATTTTAAAAAAAAAGACGCAAAAATTAGGCCCTGCAAATTTATTCCGCCAAACAGTAGTTTATAGTGAACAGCTTTTATAGTTTATAAGAAAAAGGACCTAAAGAAAAAAATTAACCAATGCGGACACCAATGTCAACAATGACGGGAAGGTCTTCAAAAAGTGGAGCTAAGAAACATCCTTACACTTGAGTATAACTTCCCTTCGATTCATCTATTTCTCCTATATTGTGCACCCTGTATCGTAACAAAAGTACCGACACAGCCACCAGGGTGTAAGCTAACAAGGTCCCTATAGACATCATGTCTACTAATTCCTTCAGGTCAAACAACATTGCCATCACACCTACAATAAAATCAAAGTAAAGTAATGGCTATAAAAGTAAAATGATGGCTATTAAAGTAAAGCAATAGCTATAAAAGTAAAACAATGGCTATAAAAGTAAAGCAATGGCTATAAAAGTAAAGTAATGGCTATAAAAGTAAAACAATAGCTATTAAAGTAAAGCAATGGCTATAAAAGTAAAACAATGGCTATAAAAGTAAAGCGATGGCTATAGGTTATAAAAGTAAAGCAATGGCTATAAAAGTAAAGCAATGGCTATAAAAGTAGAACAATGGCTATAAAAGTAAAATAATGGCTAAAAAAGTAAAACAATGGCTATAAAAGTAAAGCAATGGCTATAAAAGTAAAGCAATGGCTATAGAAGTAAAGCAATGGTTATATAAATTAAGCAATGGCTATACAAGTAAAGCAATGGCTATAAAAGTAAAGCAATGGCTATAAAAGTAAAGCAAATGCTATAAAAGTAATTAAAAGCAAAGGCTATGATAAGTAGAGCAATGGCTATGAAAGTAAAGCAAAGGCTATTATATGTATAGCAATGGCTATGAAAGTAAAGCAAAGGCTATGTTAAAGTAACAGATTTGTCCTATTACTATAGCATAACATAAATATTGTCACCTGTTTAGCAAATACAATTTTTATTGGGTGTTATATTAAATCTATACAGGTAGCTATTGAGGGTATTGTAACTAATGAGTGCATCAGAATTTTTGTCATACAACTATTTACTGCACTGAAATACTCTTACCTTGTTTCATGTAATAAATGCACTTGATATTTAAATACATGTACTACATGCAGTTATTGAGTGTTCTATAATCTAGCTATAGATAAGAGAATAATTATAGTCTAAACATTGGGTTCAATGGAATTCTATAATGTAGTTAGTGACAGTAGATTTTATAATAGACTATATGCATTACAATCAGAAGATTATGAGAGAAAAGATCAATATTTACAGGCTGCTCTGTTTCAGCCCCCATGCTACCAAGCCACATCCAGTGCTAGCTAAATATGTGTACATTATTTCAGGCATTAGGGCTTCTTACATGTCTTAGTAGAACCTTTGAACCTTTCATTTCTTTATGCTTGCTTAATACAATGTACTAACATCCACATATGAATGAGGTCATTGTTAACAGTAGGAATCAAACCAAACACAGGGATAAGTAAGAGCTAGCAAGACACAACCTTATCCATCAAGCCGAAGAGCCTAATCTTAAAAAACAAATAGTTTATGAGCAAACTTTCATGTTATTCCATGTACGTTAAGGTATTTCTTAAACAGGTGCCAGGGAAGTTAACTTGCACATTCTAGTACCTCTCATGAACAGGCTCAAGCAAACTGAGCCAGCAACATTTTCAATTTTGTCATTTTGTATTATACTTTTAACTTAAATGACTAATTGACAGCCATTTGTGTTGTTTTTCTTTTTCAAACTCAAATTTCAGACAATTCCTAATTTTCGCAATATTTACCTCCCTTGACAATGTATGGCCCCTATTCTTTGGGTAAATATATGAATATAATATGTTATTATATGACAAATCAATGAACAGTTGATCCAAATGAATTATCAATTTTTTTTCTTATGTGCAGGAAAGTATTATTCAATCATCAATATCTTAAAGTTATTTATAATAGTGATGTTCCGATTGTCGCAAGTCGCCGATAATCAGTTACTGTTATGTAAAGCGACAATAATCGATTCACAAAAATTTGTTCCGCGACGTCGTCGAAAATGTTTAAAAATCAAAGGTAATTAATTCTGACGGTAATTTTCTTTTAGGAACACCTCGCCGATCGCAAAAAATCATCTCAGAGACAATTTGGAGTTGAACAGGCTCAATAAGTGATGTAAACAATAGTAATATAATGTGATTTGAGTGTTATTATTTGACATCCATTGCAAAATAAAATCTATTTCGTAAAATTATGACTATATAAGGTTAAAACTGTGTTAAAAAGTGCTAAATGAAGTTCATGTTACTGAATATAATCAAGTGCCTTGTGAAGAAATCTTACTTCCAAATTTCTTTTTAGCGCGACTTAATTCGAAAAGTTATCGATTATGTCCCATCTGACTGAACCGATGATCGATTGGGACAAATTTCAACCGATTTCCATCACTAATTTATAAGCTTAGAATTTTAGATTTTAAGCTTATCTTAAGCATATATTAAATTGAGAATGACCCTGAAAACAGCTGCCAGGGGAGATAATACATGCTATGTGAAAAGCATGTGTAAAAATGGTATATAAACGTGCTACATTGAACTGACTTTATTTGTTCATTGATTTTATAAGTAAAACAACATTACCAGCAAGGACACCAGATAGTATGGTAGCAATCAGGGGTGTCTTAAACCTTTCGCTGACAGTAGCCAGGAACTTGAAAATAAGACCGTCACTGGCTATAGCATATATCACACGGGGTAGTGGAAACATTGCACCTAAGAGACTGAAGATAAAAAGAAGAATGTTATTTCATGCATTGTTAACTCACTTAAAACTTCGTACAGAATATTATTTCACACCTTATATGGTGTATCTAAGGAACTTCAAGCATTTGTTTGTTTGTTTTGGGTTTGACATCAAACCGACACAGTATAGGTCATTTGGCAACTATGGAGGAAGCATTATAAGCCTCTGTGCATTATTTCAGGCCTGAGTAGAACCACCAACATTACATAAGCTAACTCGATAACTTCCTCACATGAAAGAATCCAAAGTCCCTGTCCGGATTGGAACCCACATCGGTGAGGAGCAAGTAGTTTGAAGTCAACTACCTGAACCACTCGGCCACTGACGCCCCTAAAACTTCAAGCATTTACCCATGTTATCAACCAATTTAAATAAATATAGGATTCAATCTAATCAATTTTGTTTTGATTGATTGATTGATTGATTTATTTATTTGTGTATATATATATATGTGTGTATGTTATATTACAAAACAAATTAAGACAATTTATCACAGATATATCTATCACATTGTTATTAACACAGTAATTAATTGAAAAATAATAACTTAATAATATATTGATATCATTTACCAAGTCAAAAGTTTGCATCACTTCACTAGCCTGGTTTTCATATTCAGAGTCCAAAAATTGCATATCAAATCCTTATTGCACTAGAAGGTACAAAGCTCTATCAAACTGTCAAAAATGGCTATCCTATAATATCCTTGTATTATTAATTTATAATAAAGATCTTTAACAGGTAATATATCCTTGTATAAAAAGTAATAATCTTAAATAACTTTGAATAAACTGATTCCGCGTAAAAAAGTAGGACGACAATTAAGTTAAAGTTGTTCAACATTCTTCATCAATTTATATCACCTAGGAGAAAATAAATGGGACATTTAACTGAAGTTTAGCGCTGAATTATCTTTTCATCAAAACAGGAGCATATGCCTCCATTCTATATTGTTGATCATCCTGAATTCTTTATGTGTAACTATAGTAAACAGTAGAAATAATAGAAATCTACGTCAAATAACATAAAATGTTGATGGTCTTGTAGTGTTTTTACATGATGTTATAAAATATATTAATAGTTATTCTTTATAATAAAAACTTTTGGCTGTCAATTGGCCACAAACTTATCACCGCTTATCTGGTTGACAGTTGTCTGTCTTATTCTGAGCATATTATGTCCCAATTCTGACATACAGATGTTTAAAGACCCATTATGCCCCTGAAATGCATTCATTTCTATTTTTGGAAAGCTTTTCTAAATTTGGTCTTTCAAATAATTTCATAAAAAGATCCTCATTGGCCAATTACCTGAACTATTTTTTGCGTGTTTCACTTATTTTTTAACAATTAGTGCAATTTAGCGATTTAGTATTTTGTACATTTTGCTTTGCTCATGACTAATCATTTCACATTCTGGACTACTTTCTTTAGTTGATAAGCCTCTAACGTGCTCTAAAACCATTATTTATACATTTCAAAACTCATGTTGACCCTTTCAAAAGAAAAAAAATCAATTCATTTCTAAAGCATAATGTGCCTTTAATAGTGTTACCATTTTTAAGCAACAAACCTTGTTGACAGTCCACAAACTGCACCCACAGCAATGATATATCTGGCAACATGCCAACCAACTCTGTCAAACACTGCTGGCAGAGGAGCGTTCCCGTCCAGTAGATAATATGGGCACATCAGTGTTATAACAATAGATATACCAGAGTAAGCGAAGAAGCAGGCAAATAAAGACACAACAATACTTATTGGTATAGCTTTCTGTGGATTCTTCACCTCCTCCCCTAAACAAATATAAAACAAACAAGATACACAATTGGTTTATACAGAATATATTTTATGGCACATCCTGAGTCGAGATTTCTACGAACACAAGTATTAAAACCGTTAGTATGGTGGAGATACATAGATGACATATTTATGATTTGGCCGCACAGCAGACAGGAATTGAATTCCTTCGCCAATAAAAACTTTTTAAACATGACCTGGTGTTGTACGTGTGTTCCTCACCTACTTTATTCATTAGAATATATTTTAGTTTGATTGTGTAGGAATTAAGCTATAAGCTTATAGACACACTTTCGAATCCGTTCCTGGAACCAACCAGTAATGAGCAATAAGTGTAAACTTTCTTGCTCAAGAAAACAACGACTTGCCCAAAACGAGGTTTGAACCCATTCGGCTAGCGATCATTAGATTACTAGTCCAACCCATTTACCACTTGGCCATGCCGTCACTCAATTAACATTAATTGGTATTTCTAATTCATTAATATAATACAATGTTTATGCTTATCAAGAAGTATCTTCTGCAGAATAAATATCTTTAAACATTTATTTTTTAAATGAAATATGAACTATCAATGATACACTGTCATGTATTTTCAGGTCTACCCAGTTCTGGTATTTTAATGAAAATCATAATGATGGCCCATGCAGAATGTTTTTTTTAGTGTTTATTGACATATTATTGTACAGTTTTGTACAAAAATATATGATCCAATAAAAGTTATTTCATACAGCTATTGACATTTCATAATTAAATATATCACATCATTGTAAAATTGAAATTGTTACATTATTATCAAGTATGCCTTTATAAACTCACTCATCAATTATACATGATTATTCAATTTTTGCAAGCTGTCAGTTGTAAATGCATACTATTATTATTACAAAGATTCTTCAGATACTGATAATTGCTTTCAACAGTTTCAATTGCAAATTAAAAGGTACTAAAACTTAAGAAAAAGTACAAATTCTACCTGTTGTAGCTATGGCATCAAATCCAACAAAGGCATAAAAACATGTGGCTGCTCCTGACAACATCCCAGAAAAGCCAAATGGTAGAAAACCACCATCTCCTATATCTGTAGAATTTAACCCTACAACCTGTGCAAATTTTAAAACACCCATCATTTCATAATAAGCATAAAGAAATCTCATATCTTAGGCAGAACTGAACATGAAAAGAACATAGCTTTTATTTACTCAAGTTACATAGGGAACACATGACTATACATGGGATGGTGGTATATCATTGTAAATTAAACATGTAATGGTTTATTTAATATTTCTTTATACAAAACAATATTATTATACGTATTTAAGCCTACCATCATTCATGCTAATTTTCATGAAAGTTTTTAAAATATATATAAAAGTAAAAAAAGCGAGCAAAGAAAGTAATTAACGCATTACAAATGGCACTTACAATTCACAAAAATTATCAAAATGGTGTCAAAATATACAAAATTGCCCTTACTGCATTAGTCACTCAGTAGATATATGGTGATAAAAAATACTGCAAAATCAGTCACTCATGTAAAATATTACATGACTCTTATATCTTTTTATTTTTCTTAAAATCTTTGTACATATTTCTCAAGTTTGATTTTCTTGAAACTTTTTTGTTTATCTGGAGGCATGCAGCTTTAAGGGTACTGAAATTCAGAAGGACAAAACCATATCACAGCACTGAGATAAAATATGGGGCCATGATTTAAGTTGCCAAATGCACTATATTGATGAGTATAAAAATCTGAGAAATACGGAGAAAAAAAAAAATGGTGGAAATACACAAATTGACAGTTTTTTCTAAACTAGCAGACGACAGGCTATTTTTATGAGTAGAATTGCAAGTAAAGATAACAGATTGCGAAACTCACTGCATAAAACGTATGTAAAATGGTCTGACTTGTGGTAGGTTTCACCATAAATTTAAATACCTTCAGTGTCAAACAATGTGTTGAAATATATACTGAGATGAAGCTAAGATCACAAGCTTTTTATTGGTGTAGTAAATTTTAAAATCGGACATTAAATTGCCCAAAACTAGCGGCTTGAAAAAGGCTAATTTTGCATTGTTTTAGCATTAAAGATATTGATTTTACTCCAAGGTAAGGGAAACAACTTGTATTTTTTCACTCGATATACCTCCGTTATTTATGTAGTTCATATAGAGACTGTCAATGGATGTATTGCATACTACATGTAGGTTTGATTGAGACATAGTTGTGAAGATTTTCCTTCATAATCTAAACATTTTCAGTACAATGTTTACGGCTATATCAATTGGTTTGATAAATTTCCGTAAATATCTTATTGTAACTGATCTAAAATTTTCAAATTTAAAATGTACAGGAAAACATTTCACTGAATTACCTCATCAGGGTTGATGTGCCAGTTGTCAACATCTGCCTTAAATGCCCCACAAACAACTATATATGTAACCACCAAGAGATTTACTGCTGTAAAAAGATTGTTGAATCTAGACGACTCCTTTACCCCCACTGCTAAAATCACTAATGATGGAAAAAAAAATCAGAAAATATATCTGTAAATTTATCAAAGCCTCAATTTAAAATCAAAAACCTTAAGTTTCTAATTTGCAATTTATCTGTGTTTCATCACAAACGTTTCATCACAAACGATTCTTCACAAATGTTTAAGTAAGACATGTGAACACAGTCAGCAATGAATCAATGACCACCTTTAAATAAAGGTCATGTTGAGTGATGGCCTAATGGTTAAGGTGCTTGCCTCTCAACCCAGGGATCATGGATACTAGACCTAGTTAGGTCACTAACATGTTTCTTCATATGACGCCAGTATTGCTTAAAGCAATAAGCAGACTCGAAAGTAATTCATATAAGTTGCAAGAACTTGTTACACAGTCTAGCGTTTAAACCAAAGGTTATGTGAAAAACACTCCTATTTAAAATTTATTCTAATAATCATTTTCATATTGCACAAACATTAAGCACCTGGTTACTTTTTTCAAATTATTTCTTTACAACAAAGACCATTTTTTATGCTATTTTTTGTGGGGTTACATTAAAATAACCTGGTATGTTAAAATGTAGTATCAGCCAATTTGTACCGTGGTATTAAAATTCTCGTACTTTCTTCACTATTTGATCAACATATAAGATCCAGCATACTGTCTACTAGTATTTCATGTAATGTAACCTTGTAAATGTACATACATCTTTATTTTACATTGTCAATAAAGACTTTAGAGAGCTATAATCATACCTGTTCAATCATAATCAAATAAAAGTGATACTAAAAGTTTCAAGAGCTTTTAAAGCAGCACGCCTCCAGATTCATGCTAATTTTCATGAAAATTTGAAAATGTATTTAACAGTATAATATTGTAAAATTACCCAAAGAATGCAATTTACACTTTATCACACTTACAACCTATGTAAATTACTACAGAGGTCAAAATATGCAAAAATAGCCCTTGCTGTGTTAGTAACCCAATAAAAATATAGTTATAAATACTGAAAAAATCTGTCATTAATCACATATAACATGAAAATTATTACTAGAATTTTGAATCTTTATACCTTTCCTAAAATCTTAGTACATTTTTCTCAGGTTTGATTCTATCAAAATATTTTTGCTCATCTGCTGGCGTGCAGCTTTAAACCTTAATCTTCTGGAACAAAAAGTGATTACCTTTTATCACCAGTATATAGCCAGGCCAACCTGAACATCAATAGAGGGCAACTAGCAAAATTTTATCCCCAATAAATGGCAAAAACACACATTTATTGAGGAGAAAGGGTACTTCAATGGAGGGAAAAGGGCCCAATTTTGACCCTGTAAATGGCATATTAACACTTACTTGATAAAAAAAGAGTTATTCCAAAGGCAAAGAAATCAGGATATGGTGAAAGGCCAGATATGTCCATAGGAACGTTGTCACGGAAATACGTCTGTATGGTGTTATTGACCAGGGAGTCGAAATAGGAACTCCATGCTCGAGCTACACTTGCTGTTCCTAGAAATAAACAGAATATAAATATCATATATTAATTTAGTAATTAGAATTGTAAAGGTTATAACCTTTAGATAAACATTATAATTCTTATTCATACCCATTATAGTTATAGTAATAATTTAGCACTGCTTTAACTATGGACTTTCTCTTTGAAGAACCAAAATGTTAAGCCTAGAAAAAACAGTGAAAGTAATGGGTTCTCACTATGTCCCTATAAAATATACCAGTGTATATTGTGTCTCATTGATAAGACAGGTGACTTTTTATCAACTGGTCTTCACTTGCCTGGATTAAAACCCTACAAGGGGCTTTTAATTGCTTCATGTGAAAAAGCTATCTATAGTGAAAGGTCAGTTAAGGTGGAAAGAAGCCATTATGAGCTAAACAATGTCAATTGTGACTTAGAACCAACCAAAATCATCATATAACAAGAATTATGTGCAGTTAATTAACCCTTAACATGCTGCCAGCAACATATTATACAACATACAACTAGGGCAGACTAGATCAATCAATGTTTGCACTGTTCCCTATTCAGTCAGTACATACTTGAAATTTTTCTAAAAATGAGGAATAGTTTTTCTAGACTGAAAGAACGGACAAGTCCATTTAAAATATTTAGTGTAGTATAATGGAGAAAAATGTATAAATCAGTGTTGATTTTAATTTCAACATAAACTTTTACTTTAACCTACCAATAACATATTCAAGTATCAGGTTCCAACCAATCACAAATGCCATAAGTTCTCCTATAGTAACATAGCTGTACACATATGCTGATCCAGTCTTTGGTACACGTGCACCGAATTCAGCATAACACAGTCCTGCATAAATTAAAGTTAATGAATACATAATTATATACTTTAGGAAAATGTATAATCATTTGACAAAGCTTGTCAAAATTACTCAATCAAGAGTATGCACAGTGGTTAAGTGGTAAAAACAGTGTGACTACACGTCAAGGAGTCAATCTGCTGTAACTAAAATAGCTAACTTTTTTCCTGAGACTCCAAACACCAAGGTCCAGTGTAGATGTGCTTTACACCTTTCAAGCTTATACTGAGGCCAAAAATAGAAATATGATTGTTTCCCCTTCCTGACCTATTAAAATTAGGGTTGGTTAGATAGGAAAATTATTTTTTTTATATGTGCATAATAATAAATAATCTGCATATATGTATAATGGACTATTAAAATTAATTTATTAAGTGCAATAGTATATGTACATGCATTACCATATTCACAACTGACATATGCAACAATTAATTAACTATGCTAGCTGTCTAAAATATCAGACTGAATTGTACCTATTGTACTCTAAAAGAAAAAAAATACTTTCAACCCCTTAGAACTTGAAAAAATCTTTTGGGTAGGGGGGCAAATTTGTTGGGTAGGTAGGGAAAGGGAAATAAATTAAATTTTATTTTAGGCCTGATATTCAGCACGATATGGGTTATAATTATCATTACTTAATATTTCAAGAATTTCTTTCATTATAGCAATATAAAATTGATATTTATAATTAATAAATATGTCAATTACATCAATGTACAACTTACCGGCAAGTATTGAAGCTAATGCGGCAATCAGAAAGGAGACAAACACAGAAGGACCGGATGTTTGCTTGGCAACCTGTCCAGCTACAACATAGATACCAGCTCCTAATGTGCTTCCTATACCTGAAGTGAAAACAAGACATAAAAACATACATCTTGTTACATAATTATATAATATGACAGCTTAACAATTAACCTGCTGGAACTGAAAGCATGAAGCCTTTGCGGTTGATAGTGGGCCAGCTCGCAGTCTGCAAATCCAAGCAGTCTGAACAGACATGTTAGTAGCTTTTTTTTGTATTTTGATATTGAAATCCAATTAACTTTTGAATGGACTGTTCCAGTTTCAAAGCAGCCAAATTCTGCAGTTGAAAGGTATGACATATCTGACATAAAATCATCTCATCATTTTAAGATACCTCTAATGTTATTTATATGTGATGTAATGATTGTTAAACAGTGTTTTTCACTGAATCTGTCAATCAAACTTGTTCCCTCTAGATAAAAAACACCTATTTTCTCAGAACATTATCCAAAACACATTTTTTCCAAAGATACTAAAATACCTAAGTTCCCAAAAAGTACATAAATTCTTAACTACAAAAATTCATAAAGAAAATTAATCTTACATGTAACCATTTGCCTACATTTTTGATAAAGTACATGACAAATTTTACCAGAATTTATGATAGATATACAGATGTTATACTGTAAGTTTAGAGGTAATATTTACCTAGAGCAGTAAGATCTAGAGTGTTAAGACATCTAGCGAGCTTTGTTTGATGTACAGAATCCGCTGCTATAAACTTCTTCCTTGTTAACTTCTGAAGTATCCTCATGATGATTTCTCATACACTTAACCTATATAATAAAAGTCTTATTGATTCAGCAAAATGTTTTCATCAATCACTGGAAATAATCAGGAACTGTTTATTATAAAACATTGATTAATCCAGCATAAGTACTGCATACTGTGTATACATCAACAGAGCTAAGAAAATTCAGCCTTGGTTATATGATTTTTATATGCATGACTCAGGGTGCCATGTAAAAACAACTTACTGCAATGATGGCCTAGGAGGTTTGACTAGTTTCATTGTCAAAACATAAATGTTAAATTCCATCATGCTTGCATGTGAAAGCAAAATCAACAAGAGCTGTCAGTATGAAAGTGCGTTTGACTATTCTAAGTGCTTGATATCATAGCCTTGATAATGTAGAATTGTCTTAGTTCAAAGTGGGACATAATTCTGTAAAAAACCCAAATAACAGTTATGAATCTTAGATTGTGACCTCCTATATGCTCCCAAATAAGCATAAGAAGTTTCAATTAACCTATTCCCTTCAAGTTCAGTAGATACCAATTTGCCAATGTCACATAATAATGCCATCATAGTTCATTAGAATTACAGTAAATTGCATTTTGATATACATCAGTATATAACTGGGAAGATATAGAATACTATTATACCCCCATTCAAAAACTTCCAACCACCCGCTCCTGCCATAATAAATTAACACAATGTAATCCTGAATTAAACTAGAACTCCGCGAGTCGGATGTGTCGCCTTGTGAACAATGTAGTTTAGGGGAAATGGCCAGGACAAAAATGAAATATGAAAAATAACAAAGGGCAATAACTAAAAAATAATAAGTGCAGAGCAGCAGTTTCTGTACACTGCACTTCTTATCAATAAGATCTATCATTCTATGATGTTTCAAGTCCATAGCTTTCATACTTGAGGAAAAATGACCAGGACAAAAATAAAGTAAGAAAAGCAACAAAGGGCAATAACTCAAAAATAAGAAATGCTGAGTATCAGTTCTTATGCACTGCACTTCTTTTTAATGAGATCTATCATCCTATGAAGTTTCAAGTCCATAACTTTTATACTTTCAGAGAAATGGCCTGGACAAAAATTAAGTATGAAAATAAACAAAGGGCAATAACTCAAAAAATAAGAAATGCAGAGTACCAGTTCTTGTGCACTGCACTTCTTCTTAATGAGACCTATCATCCTATGAAGTTTCAAGTCCATGGCTTTTATACATTAGGAGAAATGGCCCGGACAAAAATAAAGTATGAAAATTAACAAAGGGCAATAACTCAAAAATTAGGAAGTGCAGAGTACTGGTTCTTGTGCACTGCATTTCTTCTTAATGAGATCTATCATCCTATGAAGTTTCAAGTCCATAGCTTTTTTAGTTGAAGAGAAATGGCCCGGACGAAATTAAAGTATGAAAATTAACAAAGGGCTATAACTCAAAAAATAAGAACTGCAGAGTACTGGTCATTGTGCACTGCACTTCGGGTTATTGAAAGAAGCATGCATACCAAGTTTGAAGTCAATCAGACTTATAGTGTCTGAGTTATGCTCCGGACAAGCTTTAGCGGACGCCGACGCCGACGCCGACAACGACAACGACGCCGACACAGACGCCGCCGCCGCCGACAAAAGTAACCCCTATATGTCACCTTTTCAAGGCGACACAAAAACTCCAGTCAGAGTTTTATGACTCAACAGTTTAAAAAGAAAATATAATGTTTATTACACCAGTAACTTTTTATCACCAAGTTAAATTGGCAGTAAGTACATGACGTAGTACATGCTACATGATCTCTGGGATACAAAAATGATCAAAAATAAAATAAAAATGAGGTGACACTGTAGTTTACTTAATTGTAAGTCCAAGCACAATCGCCACAAAAAATGTATTGAACAGTACATTAAAAGAAGTAATTTAAAAATAAAAAGAAACATTCTACCATTACCTATCCCCTGTGACTATAGTGATTAACAGATTGGTTCCAGATTTTTTAACAATTTTATTTCATGCATGCTGCTGACGTTGGCAAAGGGCGACAATTATCTATGCACAGGAGCTTTTATTAATCAGACTCTAGAGCAATTATTGATAGAATTTCAAGCTCCTGTGGTCAATGTAATAAAGCCAAAAATCGCACAATTTGTTGGGCTAGGAACTAGTCCTATAACATAAGATGTTTCTGTTAGTATTATGTACACTCCGTTGTTGCAGTGTACATAGTACTAACAGAAACGTCTTATATTATTAGGACTAGGCTAGGAACCAATCAGTACTGAGAAATGAGTGTAAAGTTTCTTGCTTAAGGAACCAGCGACTTGTCCGACAGGGTTTGAATCCACTAGTGCCACACATCATTATACACTCAGTTCATTCCATCACTTGAAAGTTGGAGGATTAAATAACATCTTCAGGTGTGACACACTAATATTTTCATTCAAAGGTAACTATTATTTACTTTAGTTTATTAGCAAATGTTTTTTTAATGTAGTAGATCTAACTAACCTGTTTTTTGTTTTTTTCTACTAGACTTCTTATCTATTTAACCAGAAACAGTCTACAGACAGATTTTCCAAGACAAAAAAAAACCCAACCTCACAAGTGCACCAAATGACAAACAAATATTGGACGATTTTTTAATACTGTCATGTGTCTAGACATTATTGAGCATGAAAATATCACGAAGTATGAAACTGGTTAATTTTTATCAGTGTTTGTAAACGTGTCATGTGAATTTTGTTGTTAATTTAGAACCCGGAAGTTTACATTTGGCGAGCTTGTTTATCATCATGAGAATACGTTATTTCTAATCGAGTACTTTACTACGTAATGGTTGAACACCACTATCGTTATATACTAAAATTGGCTACATCGATATTGAGTTTTTCTCTGTCTTAATTAACGACTGTGTAAAAAGGAAAGAAATCAAAGCACAGAAGGCGCTGAATTTGTTTGGGTCTCAGAATGTAAGAAAGGTGCAGGTTGTGAGATTATATGTTTAGTGCCACCAATGCTTTCCAGCGTTTTAATTGTAGTAAATTGGCTATTAGACTAATTGCAACACTGATATTCAATCCAATGTTTATTTGACTTTAACAATTTAAAAAAATGAGTAACCTTTACTGGGATTTGAACTCCAGACCTCTCGCTTCCTAAGCGAGCCCGAAAACCCTTCAGCCACGGTGAATTAATATGTGAACGGCCTGAAGAAAACCATATTATTCTAAATTAGGGCTTGTAACGACTTTAACTGTTGTTTAACACAGATGTAAATAATCCTGGAGCTTACTATAAGCATGTATATTTATAAAGAATCAAACTGCTGCAAGTTCTGTGGTATTTTCTGATCTTTGCAATCGTACTGTATATCTGTATGCATTTTCCTGTATAAGTTTATTTTTATGTATTATAATTCCTTTTGTAAGGCACCAGAGTTTGATACATCCGTAATTCTGCATAACTAGAGTTGCATCAAAAAATCATTTATGTCCTTTTTTTACGACAGCCACACTTTATCTTTGTATATCATGGCTACTTCCTTAACAAAAACACTTAAAAAAAAGAATTTAACAAAAAAAAAAAAGTTTTCTCGACTTGGATACGAACTCGAGACCTCTCACTCACGAGGCGAGCGCGTTACCCTTGTACCACGGAAAAGTTATACACAGTGTGTCTGAATAATATCAAATCATTCTAAATTTGGAACTTCCATTGCAGTTCGGGTTTGTAATCCTTATTAATTTCGAGGTATTTTGTTTAGGCTAAACCTGTTGTTTATAATTGAAGTAGATATTTTAGCAAAAATCCTCTCGCCCAAACGGTCCGGCATGTAGAATCTATATATTCCACTACTCGGCTTGTAATCAACATGGCTAAAAATAGTATTTTCATTGATAAAATCATATTCATCCGCGTAATTTGTGATTGTGCATTTATTGACAATTCTATAAGCCAACGCTATTGTTTAACTTTAAATGCGTTGTAATTTGTTGGATACTTGTAACAAAATAAAATATTTCTTTCTTTTAAATCGCTAGTTTTTAGCTGTTTTGAGAACTACTTGTTGTTAGGTTTGTAGTAAACTTCTGTGTCAGAGATTGAATGTCCGCTTTGTATTTAGTTATTTTCGATCAGAAAATACAATAAAACAATATTAGAAATCTTTGACCATTCGGGAATTACTTTGCTTGAAAATTGATGCGCCTGTCTTTGACCATCTTTACGCAGTGATCTCCCCTGAATTTTTCGGCTTTAGTGTACATACAAAAGGGAAGTAACCGCTCCAAAAAATTGGACTACTTTCGGCATTTGCAATTAGCAACATTAGACTCTGAAATTTCGCTACCATTATTTGTTTGGTCTGACGACCCAAACAAATAAAAATAGAGCACCAATCCATTTTAAATAAATTATGTATTGTGGTTGATTAAGAATAAAAATGCTAAATGAAAATATTAACAATATAATTATCTTAATATAAAATTTTACAAATAACGTTATATATCAAAGTAGCCGTCATAAGTATACAAAGTGTGTTTGTTTCAGATTCATTGTTTTGTTTGCTTCCATTTCTTTGCTGATAAGTTCTTTAGAATATCTAATGATTTGCATTCCAACAGGAAACACTTAAAAGGCATGTCGACCACTGTGTTTAAAATATTGAGAAAAAATACACAAAGGTTTAAACGTTTTCATACAACCACACAAAATTGGCAAGTCTCCAACCATTTATGACAAAAATTATGTTCATCACACAATCGTAAACAAAAAGTTGAAATTGCAGCTCATGGTGTGATTTTCAACACTAGACAAGTTTTCTAATTAGCTAAATATATATATCGCACACAAACTCCTTTTCAATAATAGTCTTTAGTTGAAAGACAAGATAATATCAAATAAGGTCAACAACGAATAGCTATCATTGTTCCATACACTTCTTTTTGTAATCTAAAGTGCATTTTTATATGCACGCGCGTGTAGAGTGTAAAATCGACCATGGTTTGTGGAATCACAAGTGAAATATGAATGAAAACAATTATCACAGAACATTAGAGGGACGCAATAATCTGGCGGTTTCTGAGCTATTATGGTCGGTATTTGGCTCTTTAGAACTTCTTGCACTGTTAACTGAGCTATCACATGTTACTTCATAGTCTGGAAAGTTGTCTGTCTCGGATTTTCGAAGCCCTTGATTACTGTTCCTTAATCCATAACAGAAGTATATGATAAAACCTGAAAGTACAAAATTTAGTATCTATAATCAACTACGTTTAGCCCTTTTGCAACATTAATGGTTCATAATTTAAACGACAAAATGATATATAAAAGTAATCAGTAGGAAGCTGAATTAATTGATTTAAAAAAAAATCTTTGTAATGATTCTTTTTCAATTACATCAAAATATAAAGATTTTTTTACAAAGATAGAATACATGTTATGGTATCCACCATACAGACTATTTCTTCCCTTTTATAACCTTTAAGCGGTATACAATATTTAATTATAAAAATTTAGAAACCGATGTACCTATCGCCATCCAAACAGCAAAGCGGATCCATGTCGCAGTTGGCAGCCTAAGCATAAGAAATATGTTTACGAATATACTTATGCCAGGTAAAAACGGTAATAAAGGCACCTGAAAAAAAGATAGATCAACCAGATTATATATAGCAGGTACAATGGGGACGGCAATGCGACTTTCTTTTGACATTACTTAGTTAATGTCCACACAGTATCTCTTTTTAAAAACAAACAAAAAGATGAATAAATTAAAAAAACAATAATTACTGTTAAAATCTGGAAAAGGCGATATCACTGGAGAGAAATGCAAACAAAGCAAATAAATGACCATTGCAGACGCGTTTTTAATTGTCTGTTCATACATGATGTGATGTGAATCACCTCTCATGGCTTAAGCGGTATTTAATCTATTGAAATATATTATACGGATACCATTTAAAAACATAGCAAACCTGAGATGAAGTACGGGGCAAATTTGTTCCCCCACACGCTACTAATCACATGGTGATTTGAATATAACTAATTTATTCGGTATAGTCACACACACAGACATGATTCGCAAATCAACATAATTATAATTTAGTATATAACATTAGAATTTGAATATCTGCAGTTAAGCTGCACAGATGATAGCCAATTGAATTGCAATAAAGACGCGTGTCCAAATGTATGCATCCTGTTGACAATTGCTCAGTAACTCAAAATAGTTGACATCTTACTATATATGTAAATAAATGAATCAGAAAATAAATGAATGTAAATTTATAAGAAGACATGAACAAACCTTAAAAGAAACCTTGGTTTTGTTTTGTGGTTGACATGCAAGTGAGATAAGTATCAGCGGCATTACTATCGTAAACACGGCAGTGATGAAAATCGCCCATGGTTTACCATGTGATAAATCATCTTCTGCAAACTTTAGAAATATTGATAGTCCTACTGTTAATATACCTGAAAATGGAAATGAATATACCTTAAATTGGAAATGAATACACCTGAAAATGGAAATGAATTTATGACCGGGACCGGAAATAGATCTCGAACCATATTTCCACAGTATGCATTTCTTTCTTTATCAATCATGTGTGAATGTTTATCTATTACAAATAATACTTAAGGAGGTTCTTGTATCAATATTAGCGGGCAGCCTTTCTATAAATATGTAAAAATTGTACCTGATGCCCCTTGATAAAGACAATTCAATCAGTATAGCATTAAACAAAAACTTCTAATCTGTATTTGCAAATGAAACAGGTCAAGATGATTGCACTTACTAAATATAGTAACAGCATACGCTGATACTTTTTCTGTTATCTTGGACGGATTTTCGTTTCTAAAATTAAAGGCTGTTGAAAATATTGTACCATTTCTGAAATAGATGTAAGTTTCTGTCAATAGTCTATGCCATTACATATAATTCATGACAAAGATTCAATATACCATAAGAAACAGTGATTAACATCAAATTTAGTCAACACTTAATGCACAAAACAAATTAAGCGATTAATGTAGTTATAAAGATCGATATTTACTGAATAATAAATAAATAAATAAACAAAAATGTTTCCTTTTGTTTGTCCTTTCATTTTATTATTACCTTATTTTATGAATACAATATTTATTTTAAAAATAATGTTGTTATTATAATTGGGGTTCTTTTTTGTGTGAAAACCCACGGCAAATATATACCAATTGAATTTTAAGACAATAGATAGACTGAACACCGAAACAAAACATTTCAATTCATATATGATTATCTCGTTCACAATATCACCGAATGACATAATAATTGAGCCGCGTCACGACAAAACCAACATAATGGGTTTGCGACCAGCACGGATCCAGACCAGCCTGCGCATCCGCGCAGTCTGATCAGGATCCATGCTGTTCGCTTACAAACCCTATTTCAAGTAGAGAAACTGATAGCGAACAGCATTGATCCTGATCAGACTGCGTGGATGCGCAGGCTGGTCTGGATCCATGCTGGTCGCAAACCCATTATGTTGGTTTTGTCATGACACGGCTCATTTACGCAGAACATATTGCTTTACAGTCTACATAAAATGACTGAAATCATTTAAAGGCCAAAAATGTGGTTTTTATTGCTTCCTAGCCATTTGGCCGAATTTTTATATTAAAGGTAAGTCGCTTCTCGATATATTCACCGTAACGTGTGTAACATTTATAGTGAAGATAAAATGCCGCGTCAATATACACTGTATTGTAAATAAAAAGCTTAATTCAATAACAAGATAAGCACATGCAGTTTCAAGATGCGGCCCGGACACAGATCGTCCTGCAACAACTAGTTCTAAAAGTAGCATCGACAAATTCGCATTTTTATTGTTCGTTTGTTTGTTTCATTTTACGCCTTTTCCCAACAGTATTGGAGTAATATAGGCTGGTAGTTTCCTAACCATCTTTCCTGGAGAGTTCCACCAGTACTAGACTACCTTCCTCCGCGCTAAACTACCAAAGCATCTCCCGGGAATCGAACCCACGCGATAGAGGTAACTGGATTAGAAGTCATCGACTTCATATATTTTAATCCGCACACAATATGATAGAGAATATTGCGCATGAGATAATAAGCGTCCTCCACAAGTCTCCCTTTTCCCAAGACATGGTCCCATAATCCTCCCTTTTCCCAAGACTTGGTTCCTTTGGCTATATATTTCCAAAACTGTTATACATGAATTACCTTTCTGGGAAGAGATACAGTTCCAAAAATGTCATTCGGTAAATAATCTATCAGTGATCATGTAATTTTCATGTACGTGACTTTTGTAAGATTTTATGAAAAGATATATGCACAGTCCACATGTAAGCCGCGAATAAATGTGACCTAAACGGGTTTTTTTCTAGTAGAAATATTATAAATATTCGACAAAAGAGAAAAAAGAAAAGAACCACAAAACTACCACAAAAAAAACAACAACAACAATGCCAAGCTGAACGATCCCAAAGACATCGAACCAAAAATACATAACGTGAACTCACGTTAGAGTATAGCTATCAGTAGATTGCTCTTTTTCACCTATACCATGCACCCTGTATCTCAATAAAAGTACCGACACAGCTACCAGGGTGTAAGCTAACAAGGTCCCTATAGACATCATGTCCACTAATTCCTTCAGGTCAAACAACATTGCCATTAAACCTGTTTAAAAAATACATATAAGAAGTAAAAAAAAGAAACAACATAAGATTTGAATAACCTGGGGAGATTAATAAAAAATTAAAATTTATCTGAAACATAATAAAATTAATAAAACAGAAGGCATGTGCTCAGGATGCCCGTTGGACAACCTTTCAACTTGTGTTACAGTGTCTCAAAGAGGCCGGCTTAAGGTGATAAAAACTGTTCATCTTTGCGGACCGATTATCACCTTCCGGTCCTACGCTGCCGTGTATTAATCTCTTAATTAATACTACATATAATTTATTGTTAGATATTTGTAAAACTCATAAAAAAGTTGAAGGCGTTCAAGGATAATAAAGACAATATTATACAGTTGAAAATATACTCGACTTTACTGCGACTATTAAAGTACAATTTATCACACGCCCTCTAGCACCGATATTGATAATATGGTCAAAGAAAAGATATTTTATAATTAAATGTCAAACCAAAGAATTACATGTACCTCGGTGAATCTACCGACTTAATCGATGTATACATATGTTTAAAAAAAGAAAAGAAAAGGCATGAAATAAACGTTTTGAAATAAAAGTTGAATTACCTGCGAACAAACCCGATACAAATGTAGCAATAAGCGGAGTTTTGTACCGGGCATTCACTCTAGCTAGGAATTTAAAGATGAGACCATCACTGGCAATAGCGTATATAACACGTGGGAGTGGAAACATTGCACCTAAAAGACTGAAAATGATTAGACACTGTTAATGTTTAATATTTGTGTGTATATGAATAAAATGCTTTGGATAGACAATAATATATCTGAAATGTACTTGATAACCCTGTGATATATCTAGGCTTACTCCGGAATAAAGAATATTTGGGTTTTCTCAGGTAATAGCGTAGGTACAAGTAAAAGCGAAACAGGTTGACTTATTTATTATGAAGGAAAGTGCACTGTGAAGCTATAACGGTAAAAGTTATTTTGTACCTACAGATTAGGTGGGGGGGGGAACACTTTTCCTAGTTCCGGATAACGTCACATAAATATACATTTCACTATTTCAAAGTACCTTGTTGATAATCCACAAACAGCACCCACGGCAATGACATATCTGGCAACATGCCAACCAACTCTGTCAAACACTGCTGGCAGAGGAGCATTCCCGTCCAGAAGGTAATACGGGCACATCAGCGTTACAACAATAGATATACCAGAATAAGCGAAGAAGCAGGCAAATAAAGACACAACAATACTTATAGGTATAGCCTTCTGTGGATTCTTCACCTCCTCCCCTAAACAAATAAAGAATGACCATAACAATAATTATCTTCGTATTTATGTAAATTTAATATAACGTATTTAATTTTTAGCACTATACATATACATTTAATAAAGAACGCCAAAGAATTGGTATAACTTAATAATGAGGTATTAGCAGAAGGCAATTGTCAACGTAAGTAAGTCGGAAGAACAGGATATATCTAGCACTTTACCAGTCGTTGCTATAGCATCGAATCCGACGAATGCATAGAAACAAGTTGCAGCACCTGATAACATTCCAGAAAAACCAAATGGCAGAAATCCGCCCTGTCCTACAACGGTAGAGTTTACGCCGACGACCTAAATAAAAGTTCAAATACATTAAAGACTTACATACTAACAAAGTTGACTCTCATGGTCGTATCTGCTAGTTTCAGTGTCATTTGTACAAAACTTTGCAGATGGTAAGAGAGGTAAGTGCTGTATGGCAGCTAAAAGGGTATACTGGTCCTTCGGGATCATTAATTCCAAAACTTATAGTGTTTAAATTTGACAAAGTGCTTAGACCGGCGATGAGGGACATACGTGATATTACTTTTTTCATGATCACATATGACGGATTCAATCATTTAACGGAGCCTGAAAACTAAACGTGACACGATAATTACACAGAAGATGTTAATTACCTCCTTAGGGTTCACCTCCCAATTAGTATGGTCTGCTTTGAAAGCTCCACATATAATAATATATGTAACAACCAGAAGATTGACTGCAGTAAATATGTTGTTAAACCGGGATGACTCCTTTACACCCACTGCTAGGATCACTAAAATCACACGTAAACAACCGATTAGGCAATATATAACGGCCTAAATTCCAACAATTCCTTTGCAAAGAAAAACACAAACGGCCACTGTACAAAAGGAGTTTTGTCATTAACAGTGGTAACATTTATCTGGAGAAATCAATGTTTGAAAACGACTCAAAGATTTGTTTTAACGTTATTTCTTCACATATAAAAGAAGCTTCACCTTTAAGGCCGAAAACTTTAAAACATAAAATTCTTAATCGTTCAGATATCAAATGAGGCACTTAAAACTATATAAAAACACTATATTAAGAAAAAAATAAGTGAAAATCGATATTCGGATTGAAATTGTTAGACTAATTTTGCACAATAAAAATGATTCATCTTAAAATAAAAACGGAGTGATTGAATTCACGTTATTGGTATACTACATCAACATCAAAAGGTTTTAGGAACTAACCTATAATAGCATCTACTACACTGACACCTTAACTAACCACCCTTTATTATATAAGTTAAATCTTAGGCTACTGAGTATCACCATAATACGTTTAATCAAATGAACGACTGACAGTTTCAAATTATAAGCAGGGAAAGCAATATATCGAAATTAAAGCTATTAAGCCCAAAACAAAATATACAACACAGGTCTAATCAGGTCAACTCGACATCGATCTAAATTTTGTATCCTTAAGAGACTATCAATATGATGTTTCTTAATTGTGAAAGGATTCAGATTGCTACAGTCATGACATTTAACTTCTACCTCACTTGAATAAAGAAATCATTCATATCAAGATAGTTATAACTAACCTGTCAACAAAAGTGTTATCCCCAGTGCAAAGAAGTCAGGATATGGTGATAATCCGGACACGTTCATGGGGAAATTCTCCTTAAAGTACGTCTGTATAGCATTCTTGATGAGAGAGTCGAAATAAGCGCTCCAAGCTCGGGCTACACTAGCAGTACCTGGTAAAATATGGACAACGTCTAAAGTAATGACTGGACTTGTTGGATTGACGTCGTGCGTAATTAATGCTGTTTGATTTATTTTAAGATCTCGAGATAGGTTGGAAAGTAACCAACGTTGAGATTACTATTATGATGTTAATGATATTGCTTTACATTGTCTAAATAAAACATTCTTATTACATAAGTGTCCCTGTATTATATAAGTGTTCCGTCAAAATATGTAAATAGATACTGACAGTTCAGTTGTTTTTTTTTTAATTTTTCATAATTTAAAAATGAAATCTGGTTGCGATTATTGATTGTTATGTTTTCCAAACAATGTAAAGACATTTCAAAATATAACCTACCTATAACATATTCGAGTATAAGGTTCCAACCAATCACAAATGCCATAAGTTCTCCTATAGTAACATAGCTGTACACATATGCTGATCCAGTCTTAGGTACACGTGCACCGAATTCAGCATAACACAGTCCTACATAATTAATGAAAATAATCAACGCATTAATAAATTATCTTCAATTTGTGAAAACAAATGTATCAGACAAGTAAAGCATAATTTAAATACCATACCCACATTGCAATTGATGGAGGTGGTTTTTCTAGTTTACTTTCCGGACCATGGCAGTAAGCCACTTTGAATTCACCAGCGCATTGTAATTCATTATTGGACTTATACTGTAGCATGTAGGTCTGTTCAGCAATCGTTCATAAGTATCTTACCTGCAAGTATTGAAGCTATTGCGGCAATCAGAAAGGAGACAAACACAGAAGGACCTGAAACCTGCTTAGCAACCTGACCTGCTACAACATAGATACCAGCTCCCAATGTGCTTCCTATACCTGAAGTGATTATATAAGTATATAATACATATATAATATTGTAACATGGTGATTGGACATTTGAAAAAACACAGATGCATGTATTACTATTATAGTTTTAGGTTATAATACATTGTTGAGTACAGTAATGAATTCTGTGTAACATGTTTAATGCAGCTGTCAAACCTATATTGGACAATGCGAAGCTGTGCATGAGTCCAATAGAATCAGTAAAGGACTTTATATTGTATGGTGAGATTAATGGCCTCTTTATTTCACACCACCATTTTAGACCAGTTTGACGAACTTTGTAACTATTTAAACAATATTAGTCTAAGAATTTTTAGAACTCTGGAGATGAAAACGAAGTGAAGATGAAGTAGAATATAGACTTAATATAGATAGTTTGTACAACGAGGCTCCATTGATAAGATTTGATCCAATAACGATTTATATTGGACGATCACGTGATGCAAATGCTGGAAGTGTATTCATCACATTTTACAAAATATGAAAGAAAAGTATATATTTATTATTTGTTACATACCGTTTGTATTAGATTTAAATTTATGTTTTACCAAATGATACACCCGGCCATGAAATATAATGGTTTATAATTGTTTATTTATGGAATATGATTCAATGGTACCTGTATCATATATGTTTCTTTTGTTTTTCGGGTATATTCTTTAAATACAACAAAACTCTGTTGTTTTTACAAAATATTACACTGGAGCTTATGCGTCAGTTTTAAGCTTGTTTTGTGCTTTTAACATATGAACTAAATCTAAGCCATCAAGTGTAAACATACCTAAGGCTGTAAGATCTAGTGTATTCAGACATCTGGAAAGTTTTGTATCTTCTACAGAATCTAATCGTATGAACTTCTTTCTGGTTAGTTTCAGCAAAAACTCCATTACTATGCATATATTGTCTCAATCTGAAAACTTTCTTTAACAAAAACAATAGCGGGTTAAGGTTCAATCAGCTTTTGTTTTCTGTTAAATGAACAATTAAGTTGGTCGACATTTTAAGTATTTTATTTTGCTAACTCTTACAATTATAAATACTTGTAAAGACTTGTTGACATTTACATGTTTGGCTTCATTTGTACGTAAAACGCCTTGCCATTGTGTTTTAACGGACCCCTAGCTTTGATGAATCATATAATTAGAACAAAGCTGTCATGTAAAGCACGTGCTAGTTTAAACAGGACATTACATACTTGACTTATTATCGCAATTGTAAAGTGATAACAAACAAGGATTAAACCCTTACCACGCTAAATATCTTAAATCGACTTGTCCATCTTTTTAATCAGGACAAAACCATTCATCATTTTTAGGTAAAATTTCAAGTACTGACAGAATACCGATCAGTGCAGACCATGAACAGACAGCAGCACGGACTCGGCTTGGTCTGCACTAGTTGCATGGGTTGAATTTTTTGTCGCAAGCAATGTTAACATCGTTAAGGTTACAACTGCACACTTTGACCAATTAATAAAAATACAAATATTAACAAACCGATATCAAGAGTTTAAGAAAACGTACTTTTATTGAAATTTTATGCGAACAATTCAATTATCATTATTCCTACCATTTTTGATACTAACGAAGTGACAAAATGTTAAAATAACTTATTATAAATAAACTAAAATGGCCTACCATACGTTTAACACGTACGATTGAAAGGAAAGAAATATTGGATTTTACATATATTAATAACTTGTAATTTAATTTATTAGCTATGCGCAAACTTATTATACAACGTTCTTCGTTTCACTGTAAATAGAGTTTTGCCATTTAAATCTACGCCTTAACTTAGTATTTTTCAACTTTTCTGGGAATGTGATATGGTTATAGAAAGGCAAAATAGTACAAGATATACTCTTTCAAACGATCACAACATTATGTTAAGCGTAATAATAGACAAATTTGTGATATTTGTTTTAATATTTCAACAAACTTTAAAACTCGTTACGGTTTCTGAAAATATCTATAGAAAGGTTTATAAAAACTTTTGTTGATGAGATAGAAACAACATATATATCGGTCGTGTTGATGAAAACAGCAGTTGGTCCGTACGTTCTTAACTAACTTACCTAGCCTCTAAAATAGTCTATTTAATTTATTTTGTTCCTTGTAGTTGCTTTTTTTTTCTGATTTTTTTAGGTTAAAGATAATATAATATTCTTTTAAAGAAATTTATCGTCCAAAACAATAAGATTGTCACTGCTACTAATACAAGCGACGAAAGTGTTAAAATTGTAGTCCACTCCACGTTACTTTCACTTTCCAACAACGAACAATCATATTTAAAACTTTTTTCATATTACATACATGTATTTTCATAAATATTTATAGTTACTTTTTTCATGTAAGTGAAAGCATTTTACAACTCAGATAGACATTATTTCAAAAAAACAAAATCCAGTATCTTTGAAAAGCTATGGACGAGGAATAATTGTTTTTCTTAAATCAATTTTATACATTTTAGAATTACAACCGGACAATGTATATTGAATTTTTAATTCTATTACAATATGTTGTTCTTTATTTTACAACATAATTCTACAAATTGAGAAAAGTAACTATACTAATTATACTTACCACATAAATTATTTGACGACTAATACCAATATCATTTAATTATACACAGTTTTAAATTCAAGTGGTCTTCTTCAATTTTAGATATTATTTTAGATATACATTAGTATGATAATTATAAAATGTCCTTCAATAGAGGAAATTAAAGAATAGTCGAAAGTAGGAGTATCTTATAGTACAATTGGTCACGTGACATTCAATCAATGTTCTCAATTATTGTGATAAAAATGCACTATGAAACAGCGTGATTTGTACGTGAGAAATAATCAAATGTCCCATTAAATTTTAGGGAGGATATCCGGGTTTTTCTTTTAAAACACTGATGATCGTTGTTAAACGTTATGAAATCTAAAGCGTTTGTATGATTTTAAGCTCTAAATCCATTTTATATTATTAACTTAAAGGTATATGCCTAGTGTAATTATCAATGTACTTTTCACATTTCATTTATTATAATAGCATAAATGTCCAATTTCTACAAAGAAAAGAAAACGAAAAACAACAGTTCATATTCTATAACGTACAATGTGAAAACTATTTCTCATGTGTTATAGTTGCTCATGCGATGAAGTGCTATGTGATTTTCAGGGGAGACTCTGAGCATCATTTGTTAAATGTAGAAATATTCATCTTTTTTAGAGCAAATGAGAAGCAGAATTAGTGTAAACATATTATTCAGAAGTACAGATGGGATCTTTCTGGTTAGAGTGTTACAATATGTAACGTTATCATGGTGTGCTTTTTTGAAACAGTGCTGTTATTTTGATAAATATTAAAGGCACATTATACCTCAGAAACAACTAGATTTCTTCTATAGAAAAGGCAAACATGAATTCTATTATGTTAAAATAAAAGCAATGAATGTGAAATAATTTGTCATAAAAGTAGCAAAAATTGTGTCATGGGAACAAGATAATTATGTCACGGGAACTAGATAATTATGTCACGGGAACGAGATAAATATGTCATGGGAAAGAGATTATTATGTCATAGGAACATTATAATTATGTCATGGGAACAATATAATTATGTCATGGGAACGAGATAATTATGTCATGGGAACAAGATAATTATGTCATGGGAACAAGATAATCATGTCACGGGAATGAGATAATCATGTCACAGGAACGAGATAATTATGTCACGGGAACGAGATAATTATGTCATGGAAACAATATAATTATGTCATGGGAACAATATTATTATATCATAGGAACGAGATAATTATGTCACAGGAACGAGATAATTATGTCACGGGAACGATATAATTATGTCATGGAAACAATATAATTATGTCATGGGAACGAGATAATTATGTCATGGGAACAATATAATTATGTCATGGGAACAAGAAAATTATATCACAGGAACGAAATATTAACTTGTGACAGATGAAAATAATGAAGTGCACATGTCACTTCTTTACGATGTTTAGCATTTCAATCTCAGATCATGCTTTCTTTACATTCATTTGTCTTTGTTGATAACAGAACTGTATTAAATAGTATTCTAGCGATGCATAAGAAGATTCATCCTTTTTTCACTGTGCAGATGACTTTCTCTGACATAACCGTTTTGATACAGTGCAACTCCTGCAGAGAAGCCCTGTTTACAAGAACAGTTTGCTCCATTGTCTTTGCAATGAATTTAACACGACACCAATCAGCAACAACCGAAGTCTTTTTGCTCTGATGAGTTTGTACTGTTTGTTTAAGGTAGCTCGCTACTTTCCGACCGAAATTTGACAATATCTCCGATCTTGATGATTTTTGGTATACAGACATGTAGATATGTAAGCTTTACTTCTGCAGCATTATTTTATAAATAAACAGCGTTACTATGACGTCAAAGCGCCCTCTATCGGTGACGGCGAAAGTGCGTCTTTTTTATCAATAAACCGGTCTGTTCTTATCAATTTTCATCCGATTTCCTTCATTTTAATTTTATAGTGTTCAGTAAATGTATGTTTTTGTAACGATGTCTTTCTTGAACATTTGCTTAATACTCTGCGATTCTACGTTATTTTCCCTCACGTTCTGACGTCCATATTTGATGCAAATATCGCGCGATATCGCAATAAAGATTGTGAAATAATAAAAAATCAACACGGTGAATTTTGCTATAATTGTTTTAACATGTAGTGAAGTCATTAAAGAAAATCTTTATGCAATAAAAATATAGGGTCAACGCGTAAGATATTTTGCCATTACTATTTGAATATAAAATAAAGGGTGAGTAAAACGTAATGATTTTGGTGACGTCAAATATTTTTCTCAAGGAAATTTTCACGACTTTTTCGATAAATATCATACTGGCAGGAATAAAAATGTGTGAAAACCATTAACAACAATAGTATTTAGACATGTTCCGTAAAAATGTTTTTTTTAAAAGTCCTGTCAGAGATGCCTGCATTTCGATGAATATCTTCAAATATATACATGTACAACAATTCAGGGTAAAACTGTCTGCAAAAGTTGGTATCAATCTCTGAAAAACTGCAACGAATGGATATAAATACCTCAAGTACTGAAAGACAATTCAGAACATTGAAAAATATAATTAAAAGGTCACCTAAGTGGAAATTATAAAAACAAATTTTGCAAAGAATGTCAGAAAAAGAGAATGAACAGGCTGGTGCAGTCGCAATGTGTATCCCGGTACAAACTTCCATATTATCATATGTAACAATTTTGAATTGTATAATTTTTATATCAGTTAGTAGGAACAGAGACATAGATAACATCTATGTCTCTGGTAGGAAATGAATCCAATTTACGTTTCAAAAATATATGATCAACTGGAAGTAGCAACGATTTGTACGTAAGTCATGATTCACTGGTAGTCTTAATTATATTATAAAATCTAGCAGACATTTAATTCAAAAATTTCTACACGTATAAAAATTTATTTATTGACAGCCATCAGTTATTCTATTTTCTCTCGCAGCTAAATATCCTGCACTAAGCGTGGGACTCAGATTTAAAGCAGGAATCACGCTCTCATGCTATGGCTTTAATTTCTCACGTATTTCACATATAATTACAGATATTCTTATTTATTTTAAACTAGCTGACTCGCGGTATGCGTTTACTAGCGCATCTTTGAGGCGACCTGAAGCCGCGATCATTTCTCGATTAGTGGCGAAAGATCCATTGATTTATTTTGTATGTTCAGAAGCGGAGAATTTTGCATATTAAATACAGATTCCCTTGTACTGAAGGCGATTATGTAGGATTCTCAATTTGTGTGATTATGGTTGTGGGAGAAGCTCGTTTGTCTGCACATAATGCAATGCTATGTAGAGCCTATCAAAATAATGAACTATGCATTTTATGTTTTATATCTTCTTATTTTTTTTAATATTGGGTTTAACGCCGCTTTCAACAGTATTTCAATTATAGCGGAGGAAATTTAACGAAACCAGTGTTTCTCACAGTATCAACTTCTCTTTGGAAATGAATGACAGGAGTCCGAGGTGGACCTTGAAACATTTCATTCACAGTAAACAATTCTAAAGGATAATACGCAGTACAATACGCAGTCGTGTCTCGAATCCATGCCTTCCGAATTCTGCGTAAGACCTCTTTACCGATTACAACGTGGCAACAGAAGAATATTCAAAGTTAAATACCTGATTATGATCTCCCTTAATAAGGGAGAAGTTCACTTTATTGTTTACATCATGAACACGTGTTTTGGTGTGTGTTTTGAGGTTGTTTATTTTTTTCTTGTTTTTTTATTTTTGTTTTAAAGCAAACTGTATTGTATTAAAAAATGAACAAGATAACGTCAACATAATACATTATTCGTATTCAGTGGTAACAAATGTTGCACAAGTTATTTAATAATTATATTTTGTATTTAATTAAAATATACAGTATAACCTTTACAGAGAAATGCCCTTTGTTGCCTAGAGTGGTTGCCCTACAGAGGTAAAATGTAGTGAGCTCTTTAGAAATAAATAATACTTTGAGCCCGCTATGTTATACTGTTATGACAAGCGGTAATGAATCCGAGTTGAGTAATGCAGTTGCGAATATGCTTATATATTTTTTATTCAGTATGATTTTGCTTCCGTTTGTCACATAAGTGCTCATTTTCTAATTATCATGACATTTTAATTAGATTATAATTATATAATCTATGTATTGCACAGACTTAAAAATGGTAAGCAAAAATAAAAATAAAATAAAGGTTTTTGTTTCTTGTACAGTTTGTTTTTAAATATTCTTAAAGGGACTCCACTGAGGTTGAAAAGCCAAACACATAACATTTGAATTTCTTACATAAATGAGCTGGGGCACTTTAAACAGAAATATATGCGAAGATAGTTAAGAAATATACTTTGAAATAAATTGAAAATCGTATTTTTATGCTTTTGTTAGCCCGATTTGGGTGAAAAGCGTTTAAACGCTTTTCATTTTGAATAATTATTCTGGAAAAACGAAGTGCGCGAATGCTCTGAAATTTTGCACAAAGATTAATGGTCTAAACCTACATCAAATGGTACATTTATCTGGAAAAAATATTTTCAGTTCCATCATGTCAAAAAACCTCAGTGGAGTCGCTTTAACATATTTGAATTTTATTTATCACTTATTTCGGCACATTTGTATGCATATCTATTTTAATTGTATTTTTACGATGTGTTTTGACACCGAGGCTCGTCTGCCTTTATGTGATTTTAAAGCTGAATGTAACGTAAAATAAATATTCTACGGGTATAAGATAAGCAAACTAATATTCTTACTTCATTGATACAGCAATATGTGAATCTTATTTTTTGCGCTGAAACTAGTTAATTCATATAATAATATAACACTTTAACAACATCACATTATAAAATTAGAATTAAAAGATGTATGAGACAGTGTCCTGCAAATTAGGAAAGTATTTAAAAAGGGATTGTCGGATTAAACATTGTAAATGTGCTCATCTAGCACATGCTTTCAATGAGAAAATAATCAACAATTTAAAAAATATACATTTCATCAAGTCCCTGTGTTGTTTATACTTACTATCGTAATGTCTGACGTAAGAAAATTGTTATTTGAACTCCAACATCTATTAACGTCACCAAAATCATTACGTTTCACTCACCTTTTATTTTATTTTAAAACAGTAATAGCAAAATATCTTACGCGTTGACCCTATATTTTTATTGCATAAATATTTTCCTTCACTATCTCACTACACGCTCGGAAAATTATAGCAAAATTCACCGTGTTGATTTTTTTTATTACACAATCTTTATTGCGATATCGCGCGATATTTGCATCAAATATGGACGTCAGAACGTAGAGAAAAATGAGGTAAAATCACAGACTATTGAGTAAATGTTAAAGAAAGACATCATTACAAAGACATTCATTTACTGAACATTATAAAATTAAAATGAAATAAATCGGATGAAAATTGATAAGAACAGACCGGTTTATTGATAAAAAAGACGCAATTTTGCCGCCACCGATAGAGGGCGCTTTGACGTCATAGTAACGCTGTTTATTTATAAAATAATACTGCAGAAGTACAGCTCACATATTTATACGTTTGCATACAAAAAATCATCAAGATCTGAGATGTTGTCATATTTCGGTCGGAAAGTAGCGAGCTACCTTAACTAAGTTCCGTGATTATTATTTTATTATTTTAGCAGAGGTATCCATCACATCATCATTATTATGGTAACTATTTTTCTATTTGTAATATGACTTACGAATTCGTTGAAACCCTTACCCTGCTGAATGTCTTAAAATGACCAGCTAATCTTTGAATTTTCGAGACTATCCATTAATTAAATATTAATATTTTGGGATATTAAGATGAACATGTATAATAGTATGCCATTAGCGAAGATCTTGGTCAGACTGCACGGATGGCTTATAACTTCCGGTTGCAGCATCGTAAGGGAAAGATCTATCAAGGATCATTATGTTATCAGAACTTTGATAGGGCTGTTATGTTTATTGTTTTAACAATGCTCTATATAATTATTAGGGGTGTATATAAGTGTTTTTATTCCTTTCAAAGAGATAGGTATGATATAACCAACTAGTAATACAAATAACTTAAAACAAAATTATAGAGTTAGATAATCTAACTCGAAAAAAACAACAACAACTACAATAGGGGCATCAATATAATTTTAGTTACATTAGTTGTATATTTGTTTTTGATTCATTTAGGTTGGTCTGTGACAAATCTTCCTGAAACTATCCAATCAGGACTGGTAATTTTAGAGTGTGCCTTCCTGAAAAAAGACGTAAATAAATGATACATCAATATTGTTTACTACAAGCATACTTGTGCACTTCCTGTAGTAAAAGAAACGGCAGCCTAAAAGTATGGAACGTACCTCGCGTCATGTTGGCAAATGTATATGACACTTTCTATTAGACATCAGGAAAATATCATGAAAAAAATGTACACTTCAATACCAACTGATATAGCGAAACATCAATAATAAAACATTTATCAATTTAAAATGGATTATCAAGGAAGAATGTAACAAAGTCCATATAGAGAAACATGTATTTACTTTACACGGATTAGATTGGAACTCATGTACTTGGCTTTGTCGTTCTATCGATTTTAAATTTCGATATGGAACAAGAATGGATGGAAACATTTCGATATGGAACAAGAATGAATGGAAACATTTCGATATGGAACAAGAATGAATGGAAACATTTCGATATGGAACAAGAATGAATGGAAACATTTCGATATGGAACAAGAATGAATGGAAACATTTCGATATGGAACAAGAATGAATGGAAACATTTCGATATGGAACAAGAATGAATGGAAACATTTCGAGCGAGAAAATGTTTTAATAGTAGCATCGGTATACATCTCTGACGTGTAAAAGAAAAAAAAACAAGAACAAACAAAGCATGTGGGTGTGGCAGTAAGGCATAAAAACAAAAGCTATTGTCGCATATTTAATTTAGACAAACGTTTGCGAAGATTTTCTTTTCTTTTTAAAAACAATAAAACATATGTGTACCATTGTAGTCAGGAACCCATTTAATAAATTGCTATTTGTGATCTGAATGGAGAATATAATGCTGATATTGTTAGTTGCCTTGCATCTTTGAAAAACATTATACAACTCAAATGACTTAATATGAATGGTGCTAAATAATTATTTTCATTTTTGACCCGAACTTTTTTCAATTACATGTATCGTATTACTTACCAAACTGACAGATGAAGCCCCTTTTCTCACTACAGTCACGATCTTCCCATCGGCCGGAATATTTATTCAATGCCATGGCAACGCAATCTTCTGTCCAGTGGTTATTTGGATCTAATCTTCCCGGATACCAATTAGTGTAAACAACGGCTTTTCCTGTACAATAAATTGAAATTCGAAAATAGGGCTAAATGATGACAGATGACTCATTCACACTCGAGTTCTACATTGACTCATTTGATGTGTGCATAAATGTCTTCACAATCTCGTTTTGGATGTAGTTTTAAGAGGTTTTAAGTTCATATATCAAATATGAGATAAACTAGACAATTAGAATTAGTTAGTATTGCTACGGGACAGTGACGGTAGCTTAAATTTACCACAGCAGTCCATGAACATGCTCAATCAAACCGTGTCTCCAACATTTTCAATTATGAAGTTTTGGGCCTTCATTAGGGATTATGCTTTTCTCTATTTGTTTTTCTTATTGGATTTAGATATCGGATTACATAAATATGACAAAGAAACAAACATATTTCAGAAGTATGCCTCAGACAGAGTACATTGACACAATAGTGGTAGGTAAAAGTACTGTTTTGTAATTGATTTCATTGAAATGTTTTATATATGTTAACCTTACCTGAAGTCCACTCAAACCTTTCCTCGTGATGTCTGTCATGAAGGCCTATCCATACAGATTCATGATAATAGGTGTCAATAACTTGGTGAACAACCCTTTGCTCAATGGAATTATCTATCTCTATTAAATGACCACCTTTCCGTTTACACTCTAGCTCAGCATTGACCCATGTGGTGTGTATATAAAGGAGTTCTAAACATTTATCTCCATATGCAAATAGCGTCGCATTATCTTTAGATATAACGTCTTTCAATAACACAGCGCAAGATGGCGTTGTATCTAGAAATATAGATTAGAACAAGCTTTTTGTAATTTAATTTAATTTAAATATGAAACCTACTGAACGGCCTTCATATATGACTGTACTGTTTACTGTTGACAAGAATACGACCTGAAATTATTATTAGGATACGTTAATACATTAATTTCCTATACAAATTAGAAGTGCTGCTTAGTCGGCAAATATTTTCATCTTTTCAACAGAAACAGCTTACAAGTCTTTAAACTGCCGTCTACCTTAATTCATCTATAGTGACAAATAAAAGTTCCTAATTCATGACAGGATAGATCCCAATCTCAGTAAAATCAGATCATCGTTTTCGCTCCGTAATTCTTCGCTTTCTAGCGAAAGGTTGTTGAGCGACAGTTAGGCTTTGATTTTAATGAGATTGGATAAATCCATTAAACAAATATTTAACAACATTGTTTTACATAACATTTGTTTAAAAAGTATTGATTTTTGTTTTCACTATTCAGAAATATCTGATAACTTATTCTGATATCATTTGTTAGTTATATAGTAAAAATTCTAGTAACAAAATAAAAAGAAGTAAGTTTAAAATATATTACACTATCAAACGAAGAATTATTTTCTATTGTTTGCAACGAAAGGATCACAATAAACATACCATAGTAAAAAAAATGCACTGTTTTCAATTGTTGCTTGACCACATTAATTTATATTTTTCATAATTGACTTGTATATATATATCGGATTTGGATTAAATCGGTGCAAGAGGAAGTGTAGACGGTAGCTTGCAATCACCTCTACTGTGTATGAAAAGGCTCAAACTTAACCTGCAACATTTTCAATTATGAGGTCATTTGGTGTTTGTTTTTTTGCGGAACTCTGTTTTCTCTATTGTTTTGTAAACAACACTTTTATCACTACCCTAAGCTGGCTTAAATGTATACATGTATATATTTCAACTTATATTAAAACATCAAAGTAGGGTCAAGAAGTTACCTATAGTTGTTTGTATTGGTCGCAAAGTTGTGGTCACAATTGGTGGTAAAGTTGTTGATTTTAAAGTAGTCTGTTGGGTTGTTGAGGTTGAAGGTGAATTTGAAGTTGTAGCATTTGTTTGGGCCGTATGTGTAGTTGTTCTTGTCGTAGAAGCTCTAGTTAATGTGGAGAGTGGCATGTGTGAAGATGAAACAGTATTTGGAGATGTAACAGGTGTTGAAAGTTTGGTAGTTTGTATCCTAGTAGACGAAGAATATGGAAAAGAAAATTTGGTCGAATTAATTGTTGTTGACGGTATTGTCGTGGAAGCTGGTATCGTTGAAGGAGTAACTGAAGTTGTTGAAGGTAACACTGTAGAAGATAGCGTTGGTAAGGTAGATGTGGTCGGCAGGTCTGTCGTAGACGTTTGCTTTGTTAATGTAGTAGATACTGTTGACTTTTCTGGAGTTGATAATTTAGTCGTAGAGGATGTAACAAAATGTGTTGTTGTTAGTGGTGCCGGTGTTGTTGTTACTTAAATAAAGAAAGAAAAAAGACAATGACAAGTTTCTTAACTATAAATACTTTACTTCTTATTACATTAAGTTGAAATAAAAAAAGAATCCATAAAGAACGCCAAAACATCGATACTAAAATAATGCAGACTCGGTTTGACAGAACGTTTATGGACGGTACTGGAAAGTACACCTACTTAGGCAGAGTTCAACACTGAAAAGTAACATTTGAATTAGGGAACATATGTATTCATATGGTGGTTATGCACGATTGCTGCAATTACTTCTGAATTCGTAAAACATCAAGTACTGGTCAGTAGTGTATTTAAATCCGTGCTATTAACTGTCCTATATTTTCAGAATATTTGGAATAATAAACCAAAAAGGTTGTTTCATCTAATTATCCTTTGAATCTGTCAAACATTGGCATATATATTTATAGTAAGTTTCATTCTGTTTGTTTATTTTTACCCTTATGGTTGTAGACTGATACTGTGCATAAACCCGTTATATATTTACTTGCTCTTCTATTCTGTTACATGAACACTCACAAATCCAATCACCGTTCCTTTCGTTGTTAAAGCACAAGTGTGGTATGATGACAATATTTATTATGTAAATTTACATGTTTGCAATCGGTCTTCTTGATAGCTGCATATCTGACCTTTATTCCGTGCAATATTGTATGACAATGCTCTTAATAAATCTTATTCCTATTTGCGATTGACATCAAATAATATTTGGTACACATTCCATTGAAACCTATTCATATCCATCCTTTTAATGTGTAACAAGTAATATCTAAAAGCCGTACCAAGATCTTCATCAGGTCGGCTCCCTGCACATATCTGTACCATTATCTGTCCATCTTTCTTTATATACCCAATCTACATTGCATGCATATAAAATTCATAGTTCAATCAACATTTCTCCCTTTAGTATGATTACAAAGGTGGGAAGGAATTTTACAATTTTACAAATTCTGTCATATTTCTTTCCTATTCTATTACAGCTTTCTGGTTATTTAAAAGTAAATGGTGACATCTACTGTCCTGTCCTTTATAAATAATAGAACTAAGCAAAATGCCATGCAAAAACATTTTATCAATCTGAAAAATCAAAATCTAAAATTTCATTTTTGTTTCAACAGCTATGTCAATATACAATGACTACCACGGTGAGCAATAACCGTTGAAATCGCAGGCATTTATAGAAGAAAATGTATATGGTACAATGTTTAAAATATATAAATATTGTACCAGTTTACAAATTGAAAACCCGAGCAAAAGCAAAAGCAATAATAGATTAAGTCACAAATTTTATAAGTCAGTATTACAGCTTAATTAACTTACTTGGTGTTCAAAACCAATACTTATCCAATCTTTATCACTGTCACCAGTTCCTATCTGATATTTACAATCAAACTCATACATGTAACCAATTGGCTGTGCTTGCTCCGATTTCTGAAAGTGACATAACACATTGTAATTGTTTATTTAAAGTATAAACGACTTAACAAAAGCATTTAATGTAATCTCGTGTAACGTATGACTTAAGTTATCATTAAATTTAGAATATATTAAAAACATTCTAAAGCATTTCCTGGTTCTCTATAATCATTGTATTTAATACAAGTAATGCTAATATTAGAATACAGATTAAACCGTTGCTAAGGAGCATTAATTATGTGGCTTTTTCCATGATATTTCTGCGATTTTCAACAAATTTCCCATGCCAGTATTTTCAGTTATTTGGTTGTCAAGGCGCAATGGTACCTCTTATTTCAAATTAGGAACGGGTTTATATAATCAAACATGGAATGCATTGACTAACCGATGGAAATACCGCTTTTTCAACATTGTAATTGCACACACAAGAGTAGTCGCATATCACAGTTTGAAGGAAAAGGTATAACGCCGTTAATACCCTACTTTTGTACAGATCCATTGTATCTGAAAATAAACTAAGTAAATGGCATAAAGTAATCTTAACAATAATATTCCTCTGAGAAAAGTTTAGAGTTGAAACTCTATGAAATACTAATTCAGAATAAAAGCAGTGGTTCGTTAGTATAATATAATCTTATATTGTCTTCAATGTTAAATTAAACATTTTGCACATTTTGCTACTATAGGCGGCATCCAAGTTTAATGTTTATCTCCTTTTTTTTCAATTAGAGTGATATTCCAATTTAAATATCTTTTTTTATTTTATAACCACTGCTTTATATGTTTTCACTTTTGTTGTCATAATCATAAAGAACAGACAATAACTAAAAGTGACACACTTGTCACAATGATAGATATACAATTGTATCAACAGAACCTTACAACAATCTAGCAGCTAGTGTATAATGAAGCAATAGAAATAAATGGCAGAACAAATTGTTTCGGTTAATTTGCATGCATGAGTACCCCAGCTTCACCATCTCCAACCTGTGGTTATGTTCGTCAAAATCAAACCATTTGTTTACCTTTTTTCCTTCTAGGTTATTATTTCCACATACAAACTTTAATACGAACACATTTCTACTTGTATTTAATTACAACATGATAGGATTATGACCTACTAAAGATAACACTGGGCACTGAAATAATGTTTCAACATTTCACAATCTTTGATGTTTTGACCGACGTACATATATCTTCTTACATTGAAGCGTAGTACTCATTTCACTTAAAGGCAAACTATGCTCACCCTTAAGTAAAATATTTTATTCACAGAAATTTATTGAAGTCTATTAAAGTCTTACCTAATATGTCTAATTTGAAATAAAGAATGAATAAACTGTGTATTGGAAGCTTCGATCGTTCCCTATTACAGATCAAGTAAAGTTGGTCTTTTCTAAAAAAAACCCAGCCCTTTTTTTAATAATACAATATACTCATATTGTGACCCCCCCCCCCCTCCCCATATAGTGTGTAGAATTTCCACAAGAACATTATACTTTGTATGAAGTTAAAACATGTTTATTTTATATGTACAAAGATACTGTGTTGCAATTTTCAATGTTTTCTAATATCAAATTTGATCATAGTCTACCTTTAATAGTAATTGAATTTTTGTTAAATGATTATACAATCTGAATTGTAGCTTGAAAGTGTAGTTTTTTTTATTTGAGACCGACTGACATCCTTTCATATAAAACGAGATTGAATCTCAAGCAAATTATTATATTTGCTCCATTGGAATTTATAAATATGACTTAAATCTCATGGAAAAATGAGTGACCACGAACAAAAAGGAACAGCTGTAGTACGAGTGTTGATTCGATATCGTAGACTTTACGTGTGTTTTCTTTAATATGATTATATGATAAACTATGCAAAATGTCCAGAAATCAAAATATTACAGGCATTTTCAACACAATTCCAAATTTTTTATAATAATATTATTATCATTGTTTCAATACGGTTCACATGCAAGCAACTTAGCAAAGACCCACAAATAAATTCAAATACCATTTGCTATAAAAACAGATTAAATAATAAAATAACAAAATACATAACACCATAAAAGTGGAAAATTTCTCGTGCTGAAAGAAAAGATATGATAGATGTAACAGGATGGTTAGATAAAAATCTTAGATGAGCGTATTGCTGAAACGTTTCTGACCTACATGTAGTAACAAAAAGATTATTAACACGATTCATGTTTGTTCTCATAATTGAAAGAGACTTTAATGAGATATGTTATAAGCTATTAATATGTCATTTCTTCAGTTACTTGTTGACGCGGTCATCAAAAGGCAAACAAAACAAAAAGCAAAAAGGATCTACTTTTACTTGTCATAAATACATACACAGTTTAATCACCGTTTACTGTCCTACTTATTTTGGCATTTGCCATATGCATAATCATATTATTAAACATTTTTACTGTCTGTCTATTATGCAAAAATGTTGAAAGAAAATTAACACTTAAAACTTTTACTGTTTAAATAATTATTTTCAGCAAAATTTATGGTTTATAAATGAACAAAAAAAACCAACAAAAACATGCAAATGATATACATTCAAGATCTTTATGGTACAAAGGTAAAAGGTTAGAAACTGGTAACATGCATACGTACGACTGACATTTCTTACAAACAGCTGAATGATGTATTTTTTATAACGACATGTTATGAAAAGGTAATTTATAAAATGATGTTTTCATTAAAGCAAATACAACCGAGCGCGGCGTATTTATCTTTTGTTTAATTTGCTGATAACTGAAAAAATGAAGTCTTGGATCTTTATTTTGCAAGTGGTATGTTCCATAAGCCTTTTTCTACATTGTTCGAACGGTATGTATATTATTTTCTAAACATTTTTTATTCAATGTATTAAAAATAAACACTCTAAACTTTCTACTTTCTTTAATAATTCTTAAATTATCAATTACGGAAAATTTTTGGGTAAGATAATAATAAGTCGCCGCCCGTCGTTCGTGAAACGCCCAATTCCTCATGGGATACGCTTTGTAACGATTTGCCCACCTTTAATTATAATTTGATAAACATTTAAAATATTGGATTGGTTTACTATCGGCACATTTTCCATAAATATCTATAATATTGATAAAACTGTACCATTTAGATATATATTTCTTTCTTGGTTTGTTGTCACTTTAAATATAACAACATAATTATTAATGTTATAATATAGCTTCCATTAATGACCAATTCAATTTCTTTTTATTCAAATTTAATATTTAATTTCATTTTTGCTTCAAACTATCTATTGATAAACTTCAAATCCTTCAAATCAATATTGATTTGATCTTTTAGCGGCGTATGAATGTTATGAATGGACGGCTGAAGATAAAAAAGAAATGGGTACAAAACCTTCTGTATCCAAAGAAAAAGCCCAGTGCGAAAAGCGGCACAACATCTTTTCAAATGGGGATAATAAAGGGAATATAGGCTGCGGATCATGCAGGTGCTGCAAAAGAAGTATGACCATATCGTAAAATGTTACCGATTTTTTAAGCAGAGTAAAACTTGACATAATATCTTGGATTAATATATTTGTTTCGTCATGTTTGGCGAGGCTTTCAAATTTTACATTCTAATTTGCTCCACTTTTTGCCATTGCAATGCAAGCCTTGAGTAGCCCGTCATAACTTGATGACAAGTTATTACATACAGCATGCTTTATTATGATAGAATGGTAACTTTCAATGTTTATAAAATATGAAAAATAGCAAACCAAAGTGCCATAATACAATACGTAAATACATCCCGAACTCTCCCACCAAACAACGAGTTATCGTAATAATTGTTTCTACATACTACAATTGGTGGTTAACAAAAGTCTGATGTTAACCCATTACATGTACTTGTTACAACTCAGTAAACAAGTTTTCATGGCGTCCATGACTAAAGTCGCCTCAAACTTAAAACTTACCCGTATTACTTATTTGTAGTTGAGACATTTGGAAACATAATTGTCATGGTACCGTTCTTTGTATTTTTCAGTCAGCATTCTAAGACCTGTAAATACAGTGTCTCATGGAACGTCTATCATACTAAAAATGAGGTGCAGTCTCCTTACAAAGTTGACGACGAAGCCTGGATCACTGTGTTCAACTTGAGAGAATAAGCAGTGTTTCATGAAAGCCTTTGTATTACAGTCGACCCTTTAAATGACTAATAGGAAAGCAACGGGCAACTTTTGATCCCTGCGAGTGTACAAAAAGAAAAAGAAACAAAGATTTTTGTAAGCTCAACATAAACCAATAACTTTTCGAGTTGAATCGATGTCTTACATTCAATTTCAAAATAAAAACAACTAATGCAAATGCAATTTAAGGCGTTGTAGCTATGTTTTTGTTGTTGTTGTTGTTGTTTTGACTGCTGTTAAACGATTAAATGAAGCAATAATTCAGCCCCGATGATAATATGACTAAATTAAATCTACGTGTAATTGAGAGAGTAAAATAGTTTATCTAACGATACAAAATTGACGGACAAAACTGCCTGGGCTTGAAAAAACTGGATTTAATTTAATGTCTCAAATCTCGCATTTTTAACCTACACATTTTTGTACGTTTATTAAGGCTGTATTTTAACTAAATTTATTACGTTATGCATAACGTTAAAAACACATTTTTGTTGTCCCGTTGTTTCTTTGGTGAGCTGCCGACGCGTTCATTAAAAACGGTCTTCTTTTACTTCTTATAATTTTTGATATATTTTTTCACCGGTCACTAACATATTTTTGCATTTGCTCTATGCAACTGTATTACAAAATATGATGCGATTTTTCAGGTGAATCATTTTCAACTTTCTATTTTATAAATGAATATTTATCAAGTAAAAGTGCATGTTTTTTTTTTGTTGCTTGTCTTTTGTTTGTTCTTTGTTTTTTTGTTTGTTTTTTTTTTGTTTTTTTGGGGGGTATTGTTTTTTGTTGGTATTTCTTTTCGGGGAGGTTGTTTTTTGTGTTTTTTTATTTGTTGTTGTTTTTTTCTAATATAAAAACACATACACTTCAATGGTTTCATTTATTTCTTAATAAAGGTACATACCTTTCACAAGATCAAGATTGATGCGTAGTAGTGTATAATTGACTGGTCTGAATACAGGACAGTACTTTAACATAAGACGAACAATTTAAACCATGCTCTTATATCTGATTCAAATGTGACCAAGGACCGTATGTTTGTTTCTTTTGCTTAGTTTTCTGGATATAATGAACGCTGGGAACCTTGTAATATGGACATTATGTTTCCTTAACGTTTTTATACATTGTTCAAATGGTATGTGTTTTTTTCTATTTATTTTATATCATTAAAATTTCATAACATGTTTTATCATTTTGCTGTTTAATAATATGAACTTTCTTTTTTTTTTCATTTCGAATTCTTTATTTAAATGCCTTCTTGATTACAAATTGCTTCATAACGACTTGTCGGGCTATAAATACGATTCGGCCCAAAATGTTAAGACGTGTCAGATTTTGATAAAAATGTTAACGTTGAAGAAATACTATCTTTTTAGAGGTATATGGTAGAAAACATTAAAGCCTCCTCGCTTTTTTATAATTTTCTACACATTACAACAAGTGTCAAGTGCTTACGTAATGCTCAAAGGATACAATGCAACAAAACAAAAGAAATAAAAAGAAAAGAAACACCTCACTGAAATATAATACAATAATAAAGAATTTCCAATGATAATAAATGATTGACATATTTTGCATATTGTGTCTTAGTAAATTTTATTTCGGGTTATAGTTGCAACACACCGACACTTCTAAAATCATATGGCGACTTTCCATCTTTATTGGTGGAAGAAGACCTCAGGTGCCTTTCTTGCATTATTTCTACCACAAGCGGACATTGAAGAATTATTGACGTTCTCTGAGCTATTTGTAAAGATTCAAAAGTCCCTGACCAGTCCTACGCATAAACCCTTCCAGCCTGCTGAATCTCAGTAAGGGCTTATCAGCTAGTAGATCACTACTAACTGTATTTCTCCCATTAACACGTCCACTGTGTGAGAGTTTTGTCATCATTTATTATTAGCTCTCTGTATATTCTTATCTAATGGCCCCTAACGTTGAGGGATCAAATTTCTTAAGATACACTCACTTTTATCGATGTTATTTTTTTCTCTGAGTCTGCGGCCAAAGTGAATTGTGAAACTTAGCAATTATTTGAATTATTTGTAAATATACTTAATATCACAAGATAAATTTTAGCTACTTAATGAAATACCTGTATAAGTGATAATCATCTTCTTAATTAATAAACTTCCATAGTTAAGTGTCACTGTTACTCATGTTACTGAGTGAACTGCCCTACCCGGAAAAATAACACGATAAAAAACAAACAAAAAAAGTCAAACATTGTTACAGATGTAATTTTTTACTGCAAAGTGCAAGACTCTTAACTAAGTGACCAGGTAAGTGATATTTTTATTATTAGCTCGACTATATAAAGTATATGGAGAGCTGTGCTACTCACCTCGGTTTGTAAGTCGGCTCCAGCGTGCATACTTTAAATTAATGCTTATGTGCAGTAAACATTTTATCTCTTACTTTTTTTATTAGCTCATCTGAGGTCAAAATTTCTTTAAACAACTTCTACCCCTAAACCAATAAGCCAAATTTGTTGAAACTTTGCAGGAGTGTTCCTTGCGTAAAGCTCTACCAAAGGTGTTCAATGCAGAACTTTGGCCATAGCAACCAAAAAAACCCTTATAAAATCTTCTTTTAAAAAATCCAAAGAGCTAGAGCTTAGATATTTGGTATGAAACATCTTTTACTGAGTGTCTATCAAGTTTGTTCAGATCATAGCCCTGGGGTAAAATTTGGCCCCGCCCTGAAGGGTCATTAATTTTCACATGTACACATGTATTCCTTATCATCATACACATCATGTGATAAGGTGTTAAACTCAAAAACCCAGTATTTCCAGAACTATATCCCCTTGAACATATAATTTTCCATAAAATAATTTTATTTTTTACTCTAACGTCTTCATTTAATAATAAGTGATTGAATTCAAACTTCAAATATGTGTTCCTTACCATCAACTACATCATATGTGACAATGTAATTAACTCTAGCACCAATATTTTTCCAGAATTATCTCCCCATGAACTCATTTTTTTCCCCAAGTAATGTTACTTTTTACTTACTTCTTTATTTCTTAAACTCATTTTTTCCTCATAAATGTTTCTTTTTTACTTACTTCTTTATTTCTTAAGGTATATACTTCTAACTTAAAATAAATGTTCCTTATACATGTGTGACAAGATTCATAACTCTAGCATGAATATTTCTAAAATTATTTCCCCTTTGAACTTAGATGATTTTTATCCCCCCGGTGGCATATTAAAATCGAACCGTCTGTCTGTCTGTCTGTCAGTATGTCAGTCTATCAGTCCGTCAGGCTTTATACATATAGACAGTGGTGGTCGTGTCCGCTCTGAAAGGATTTTATTTTTTTTTATATGAAATAACCATAGATGTATGGTGTGTCGCGAACGAGACTCGGGTTCCTACGACTAAGGTCAATGTCACTGTGGGGGTTCGAACTTTGTCATTTTTTTATGTTATATATAAATATAGAAGGTGGTCGTGTCCGCTCTGAAATTTCAGTATGCATGAAAGGATTTTTATTTTTCTTTTATATATGAAATAACCATAGATGTATGGTGTGTCGCGAACAAGACTGGTCAATGTCACTGTGGGGGTTCAACAGTGTAGTTTCCCTTATATCTAAAATGTTCTCTATATCCTCAAGCTTAAACTATACATTCTTGAAACATGATAGGATCATAAAACATTCTAGGGTGCTGCTATCAGTGATACAGTGACAAGCCATGTAATTATAATTAAATGCTCATCACTGGCCAGAGATAGGAAATTTGGGGGGAAAACTGGAAATCTCGGGTTTATGCGTAGGACTGTGACGGGATTCGAGCTCACGCTTGATATGGGCAAGTGGTTAACAGTCAACGGCTTTTACCTCGGCAAAGGAACCCCAACCCTACCTTGTGTTGAAGCGTGTTACCTTGCTTCATATACTTCGATTTATTCTAACATTCTTAAACAGAATTCTTCATACAACTATCTTTTAGCGGCGTATAAATGCTATGAGTGGACAGCCGAAGATCAAAAAGAAATTGGTTCGAAACCTTCTATTGCAAAAGAAAAAGCTCAGTGCGAAAAGCGACACTTGATCTTTACACAAGAGAATAATGGAACGTATGAAGGTTGTGAGACATGCTCGTGTTGTAAAAGAGGTATGGTCATTATCTATTTATGTATTAATATTCATCCTTACTCCTTTATTAATCCGAGTATTTTTTATAATGATACATCTTTTGTATATATATTTATATTCATAGAGATTTATAGTTTTACATTGGTATTTTAGAGGCTATTTTTCGTTTTGATGTGACTCGGAAACATTACTTTTGCAAAAAAATGCCAAACTTTAGTCATTCCATTGTACGTATTGAAAAACTATTTTAATAAAACGGCTGTCATTGTAAATATTCATAATAAATAATACTAATAATTGTTTTCTACAATTTTATCTCCACTCGGGCAGCAATATATTTTTTCAAAGCAATAGAATACCAATTATTGAAAAACTTGTGTGTAATTGAGCGTTTCTTTCTTTCTGGTACTTTATTTATTTACAATTACACTGTATTTATTTAGTTATTTATATATTCTTTGATTATTTATTTATTTATTTCAGTAAGCCTTGGGGCTAAAAGAGAATCTTTTGGATTGGCAAACATATTAAACATGAGGTGCAGCCTCCTTAAAAAGATAACGGGCATCTCTGATCGACAGTGTTTTTCTTAAGACAAATGGATTTTGTGATATGTTAAATTATGATGATATTATAAAACATTGGATTGATCCTTATTTGAAAAACAAAAGATTTTACCATTGACATGTGTTGTTTTCTTAACAATTGTGCTGTGGTGCAATTTCTATTATAATCAGATAAGGAAGATCTTGGTTTTGTAGGGATCTTTGCTTTTTCTTATTGTAACATACCGGTTATGTTGCATTTGACTTTTGTGCTGAGCACATTAAAAAAAAATTATGGGCAAAATACAATGCCATCTTCTAGTAGCAAAATTATTATCATAATATATTTTGAGCAATATATACAGGTGAATATACACGTAGGCTGTTGTCAAGTATTATTAATGTTACATACGTCACGTCAGTTATATTTAGGTTACCTAAAGGTGATCATCTATAAAGGAATAGCTTTTTTATAACCAACACATGAATTGAAATTTATCCCTATACCTCATTTTAAAAATAAAAGAAAAATGCAATAAATCAATAGTGAAATATTAATTTTCATGTAAATACCGCATTCCATTTATAAGGTATTATTCAATATGTTCCCCTTTGTGGCAGAGGAGTTGTCTTTAAGGGATGAGGCATCAGAATTTCAGCCACTGTTTATCCCTGCAAGATCAAAATAGGCGACTTAATGGGTTGGAATAACTAAAGGCTATGCAACTCTTAGCTCAAGCAGATGTTGTGGTTCTTACAGCTAGTGTTGTTTTAAGTTTGTAACACTAAAGATAAGCCAAATTCATCTTTTCTTTTTCGGCGTCATATGACTTGTATTGTGTTAATGAGCAAAACAAACAAAATTAATCAACATGTATCCGTCCTAGGATTGTGCGGACGACAGCGTGCCTTAATACATTTAACTGTAAATCTGTAACATTTTAAGTTTAGCCATATTGGGCAACCTCAAGTGGTTTATGAACTGAGAAATCCTAGAAATTACTGTACATTACAGACCAGCACATTTGTCTACACGCCGATTTTAATATAACTTATTTATTTATAGAATCTAAAGAATGAAATACGATTATAGCATACGTACGAGTATTTGTCGTATTAAACAACCTCGGCAAATCGGAAATATGGTAGCTGTGACAGCAAAATTATAAATCTAAATTTTTATGATCGTTATGCGCGTACATCCAAGTTCCACACATTTTGAACGCGATATCTTGACTTAAACGTATGACATACTCTACTTTCTCTTGTCGTTTCTGATTCGTTCATATGAAACGATCTACTTTTACTTTAATTTTTTCACAGGTCACTGACCTATAACATATTATTGTTGTATGCATGTCTAAGATTTTAAGGTAAAATAGTTATGCTGTTTTAAAAACTCTCCGTGTTATAAACAGATATATTAAGCGTGCATCTTAAAACAAATCGTATCGTTTTATGTGTTTTCGATATATTAGAAATTAGATAGGAATACACGAGCTACAGGTCATCAACTGGGAATGTACTTTAACCATACTTGCATTGTTTACGAACGAATGATTGATGTAGTTTGATGACTTTATAAATATAAAGAAAAGAAGTACAAAAACAGTGTTTTCACATTTAATGCAAATGTGACCGAGAGTAGTGTATTTTTTTATTTGTTAGCTGCTAAAATGAACGCTTGGGTTATTGTTATATGGATAATTTGTTTCATCAGCATTTTCGTACCTTGTTCAAACGGTATGTCGTTATTTCTATATTCTTAATTTTCTTTCATTTATATAAAATGTTTTATTTATTTTTAGTACTGTTATTTTTTTTAAAATTATTTTTTGTTGTTTTTTTATGTACAATTTATTTATTTATCTATTTTACTTATTTACTTATATTTTGCTATTTATTACTTTGAACTTTATCATTTACTCAACACTAACTAGACGCCTGAAGGTAATATATCGAATTACCTCTTTTGTGAAATGTCCCATAGCGATTCGCTGCGTAACAGTTTGGTACATATTTATTACTAAATGCCAAACACTGTATGACCAACATCTTCCAAATCGTGTAACCTGAGATAAAAAAGTTAACGATGAAAATGGCTTTATTTTTGCTACAATTCAGTTGTTGATGCATTAGGTGAGGCGGTAAGAACACGAAATCTAAGATATTAATTTATACAAGGAAAGAACATATCACCTAGGACTGAAATGATATTAAGCCCAATTGAATGATTTAAAGGTTACTTGAAAAACAAAAGTGATAGGCAATATAACATCTCAAATGTCTATCCTCTAAGACCTATAGACGTTGGCAAGAATAATATTGTAAACGACGACTCGCACGAGTATGACAATATTTACTTCCAAACCAGCCATTTTGGGTTTCTTAATTTTGTTTTCGGTAATTAATAAGTTTGATTGAAAGGGTAAAATATTTTGAATAGCTATTGCCTGGACTAGTTGCAATTAGAATTTGGCAAAACGCTATGTGGCGAATCGTTAATGGGACGAACCGTTATTGCTTCTATTATAATTTAAGAATAAATAGGCAAATCGAAACTAATTTTGGATGTTTAACACAAATAGATGTATGGTATATATGAGCCGCGTCACGACGAAACCAACATAATGGGTTTGCGACCAGCATGGATCCAGACCAGCCTGCGCATCCGCGCAGTCTGATCAGGATCCATGCTGTTCGCTTACAAACCCTATAACAAGTAGAGAAACTGATAGCGAACAACATGGATCCTGATTAGACTGCGCGAATGCGCAGGCTGGTCTGGATCCATGCTGGTCGCAAAACCATTCTGTTGGTTTTGACGTGACACGGTTCATATAAGGATTTACTATCAAATATTATAACATTCACCCAAAACAAATTCTACAAACCCTCAGCGGAGTATAAATGCTATAAATGGACGTCTGAAGATCGAAGAGAGATGGGCTCAAAGCCATCGACTGCAAAAGAAAAAGCTCAGTGCGAAAAACGAAACGGCAACTTTACAAAAGGATTTAATGGAAATTATCCAGGTTGTGGAACATGTTGGTGTTGTGAAAGTGGTATGACTTTTATCTGTATACTTCAGTTAGTCTGATAATGATTAGAGGAATCTCCTTTTGTACATAGCAATTCTGGAAATTTACCCCAGTTGATTTGACTGGAAGCTATTTCTAATGTTTATTAACACAAGGTTTGGGTCAGTCCGTACGAGGTTATGACAAGCTGCATGTTAAATTACGAAATGAATGGTTATGTGTTATGTTCATAAATGACTGTACATTTAAAGGTTTAAAAGGGAGTAAAATACAGAGACATTGATACTACATGTATATTAACTGTACTGATTTTCTCCACCAAATTCTTACAAGTTAGCGTTATAACTTTCTCTAAAAGTGTTGGTGTAAACGAACTAAACTTAAAATTGATTTTACCAAAGTACAAATTATAACGGGGGCAGTAAAAACCTGCCATACAACGTACTAGCATTAAATATTATAACTATATTTTGTGTATATTTCAGTTACATCCTCATTCTCTCATGGAACGGCGAACGTAATGAGCATGCTGTGCAGCTTCGTGAAAAAGTTCACGAGAAAACCCGGATCAAACTGTAATTCTTGAGCAAACGAGTGTGGTTTAACGTTAAATAAGGTTATAAAATGTATATATGAATAGGGCATCATTCTAGAAACTTTAAGGTAGATATGGTAAAAAATATTGAAAGAAGCAGTTAACGTTGAATAGTAATGTTGAAGAAAACAAGAGTGTCACTGCATTGTCTCACGGAACGGATAACATATCAAGCCTGTTGTGCAGCAGCGTGAATATAACATAGGAGTTGTATAAAATATCAAACTGTACTTCTTGATAAAAACGGTGTTGTATATTATGGACTAAGCAAAATGCGTATATCTTTATTGTCCTATAATTTAAATAAACAAGGAAAACTTTTAATATTTGTGCCAAGGTATACAAATATAAGTGACTTATTCTAAAAGTATCACACGAAAAATGTTGAAAGGAAATTTTTAAAAGTATTAATAGCAACGCTGACTACATCATGTCAATATATGTATATTATCTTAAATAGTTTTCAGTGTATGTATATTTTGAAAATATTTTAGAATATTGCTATTACTTCGTGTTGTACGCTTTTTCATGAAGATAAAAAGTGGATGTATCTGTCGGAAAAATCTGATTTTATCATTCAACCTATACATATTGTTGAAATAAAACAATTACTTTTTTATAAATAATTGAATAAAAGTATTGTCTTATCATTCACATATTAAGTGTAAAATGTTTGATGTAATCTCAACATATAAAAAGAATCAAAGAATCATTGTACCCTGTCTTACAAGCCTAAACAATACAATGTATACGCTGTATTGCAATTACAAGCCCATGTTAATACTTCCGATCACTGTACCTTTCTTGGTAGCATATATTTCAACTTGAATCATTTTTGCGATAACAGGAAGTAAAACTGTCTCAATCAAGCCGCGTCTGCAATTTTCATGTAATTTTGCTGTGAAGAATAGTTCCGAGGGATCACCTTTTCTCCATATTTTTGTGGTACACTGTGTGTTTTAATGGTTAATAATGTAATGGTTGTAGCTACTATTTCATGTACAATAAAAAATTATATCTAACATTTATTGTGACTGAAAGTATACTATGTGTTCCACTGTGCATTTGAAATTTTGTCTGTGTTTTGCGTTTTCATAGAGTTTCACATTTCCCCAAATGCAGGTAACTATTTAATATAAACACAACTAAGCGCCTAACGATAGTCTTTATTTTTCTATTAACATGCTGTACAAATATGAAAACTTTGGGTACTAAATTGTTTTACATCAAATGAAAACAAACTCAAGCCAATAAGACAAACTTTATATTTCTATAAAAAATCTGTACAAGTTTTAAGACTAGAGTTCTGCAACTGTTATATTAAATATTATCCAACAATTATTTGAGCAGAATCGATATCTGAAATACAAAGACAATATTAAAAGATAAAAAAACAACCTTATATCTCTAGATTTTAAAAACATACATTTCTTATTGTCAAGGAACCAAATTATTTTATCTAACAAAATTTCATACAAGATATTGTTATAAAGATGTTAAGACAAAGATATTTCAATTTGTAAGTTTTCATGAAATTGATAAAACATTTTTTGGCATCATGATTATTTTAATAAAGATAATATATTTCGTTTACTTTTTGAATATCAATAGAATTTTTATGATGGACCTTAACCTACAGGCACGTTCTTTGG